ATCCAACTGCTGACCAGTGGCCACCGTAAACAGACGACCATTCCGTCATCCACGTCTGGCCGGCCAAAACCCTTCAACCGAAATACCGCAAACGAAGCGCCGCTTACAACCCCAACGCCAACGACTTTCACCTCGAACTCCCACCCGACATGAGTGACCTCGCCCCCGATCCGCAGTTTGCCGGGTCAGTGTGGCGCCGGGTTCGGTACCCGAAATCTGTCTCGAGGTTCCACCTGGTCCGACGGGGTCCGGGCAAGGGATCCCTGCACCTGTTGGCAGTGCGGTGTCATTGCCTTCCCTTCCGCTGCCGATCGATATGATTCGGCTTCCTGCTATGGCGGGAGAGTATGTGGTCGACAATGGGCAGGATGTGCAGACGGAGACGTATGCTGATCAAACCGGGCTGATGCAGTATGGGTATGCTGTTGGCGGAGAGGAACAACTTGCGGGAGTGGCGTATATGTCTGTTGGGTTTCCGCAACTCTGCCATGCTGGGGAAAATGTGCATGCAGCGGCGTTTCCGACTGGGGTTATTGTTTGATTGAGATGCGAGACTGTTTGCTGCATTGGGCAGTGGTGTGTGGAGGTGTCAGGGAAGTGTGCAGAAGGTGACAACTTGTCAGCTACAAGCGATGACGGGACGAGTTTCTGATCCGTCAAAAAGAAATGTGTGCATTAAGCAAGTAATGAAAAGTCAAGGGCATAAGTGCGCGTTAAATAAATTCCGCAGCGGTTACACTTGATCATTGGCCTCTCTGGTTGTCGGGGTTGCAGGTCTGGAACATCACCGCGACAGGTTGCAAAGAACGGTGGAAAGCGCCAGCATCCAATCATGGTGGTTGTGGGGTCCCCAAGAATTAGCCTCGTCTTGATAAGATGGGACACAGGATGCCTGACAGGTGGCGTAATCCCCGACTGTATGTGAAAGGCATCGAGGATGGAAAGAGACATCACTCATCTCGAGAGAAGAGTGCCAGGAACCATATATCAGACCCAAATAACCAAATCCTCTGGGAGAGTGCTTATGAAGCCCCCCCCCCCGAGGCTGCAGCCAAACAAACGGAAGGGGAAGTCGTCAACCGAAATGGTCACATCTTCATGTAAAACCAACGGGTCTTGTCCTCAGCATGGCGCAGCAACACTGCTACTCACCGCTGTTAGAGAGGGTAGTCGAGTGATCCATTTTTACAGCAAAGAAATAATCTCAGCTAACAGTGGGTCTTCAATTGCAGCCTGTCCATTGTTCAGGCTCACAAAACGAAGGTACGAAGTGTGCCGAGTCTGACAGTGCCTTTGTGCAGTGCTGAGGACGGGTCACCAACGTGGAAGCCTCTGTCTCCGGATCGAGATGTCGACTTCTTTGTTGTCGCGAATCGTTGTTTAAAATCCCTACTCAGCACCATTAATAACCTAGAAAATGGCAAGTACGGGTAACATCAGTACTTACCTGCCTGCTTGGACGATCAGACGACAACCGCCATGATTCCCAAACACAGAAGGTTCGTGTTTGAACACGACGAATGGGATGACACGCACTATTCCTGTGTGTTTTTCGACCAGGAGCGCCGACAGTACATGCAACTCCAGTTTGCTACCGAAGCAGTTCCCAAGATCCCCGACAACCATGTGCGCCGAATCGAATCAGAAAAGAAGTTTTACGAGCACGCCAGAACCTGGCTGCCGGCCATCTGCGACAAGCTGGCTCCTGCACATCAGACTTTCGTGGCAGATACCGATGGAAACCTTGTTTCTTCGGGTAAATCCACGGTACCCATCCAGCCTTCCTATGTTGATAGGAAGCACGAGGCTGTGAAGCCGACAGGACGTGGGTTTCGCGGGTTTGTTTATCGAAATAAGCTCCTGGAGCTGATCCGGAGACCAGGCCAGGTAGACAGGGTGGCTTACATCAGTACTGTCGGCGAAAAGGGAGGCCCAATCAAGGAAGGCCGCGTCGTTGAGGCCGATTTCAGATATTACTGCACGAAAGATGCAAAGACAATCTCCCATTGCCTTCGCAATCTGTACGTTCTTCATCGGATTCTTACCGGCCCCAACGATCAAATCCTTGGCCGCTTTCACCATGCTGTCCTCGAAAAGAAGTCGGTGGTGGGCTACCTCACACAGGCCGCAAGGGGTCCCAACATCAATACCTTTTCAACTGCAGACAAGAAGCGACCCTTCAAAATGGCTCACCTTGAAAAACTACTCGATGGTGTCAAGACCCTCAATTTGGTATATGGACTGGTTTCCAAGGATTTGCAAGCAAACGACATTGTGATTGACGAAGACACCGATGAGTTATGGTTCCGCTCGTTCAGCCACTGCGTCCCTATCAGCTCCCAAAATGCAATGTTCGACGTGGCTCTGGCTTACATCCTGCTGTACGAGAAGATCACGCACAATATCCAGACGCCTCCCAAAACTCTAGCTGAGGCTAGAGATTTGGTGAAAAGGTTGTCCGCCATCGACACCTGGTTCAAGTCCGACGCGGCTGAGCTCGATGCCGACGTCACAAAATATAGAATGGTTATGAATAATTTCCTTCAGTCTAGCTATCTGGACGTGCTTTTCGAGAAGTCACAACACCCAAAACCACAGACCGGGGTAGGATCAAGCGAAGTCGCAACTGAAGGGCGTGGGAATGCCAGTCTAGGGAACCAGACCAGACTTTCAAGGAAACGGCCAAACGAGGGGCCGCCAGAAGATCCAAGACCGTCTAAGCGCAACAAGACAAACCAAGATGCACCCGATGTGGATGTCAACTGGGAGGAGGCCAAAGTGCCCAAGATACCTTTGTCAATCATCATTCCGGACGAGTTCACCATCAAAGTTGGCGGCGTGGAGGTGAATATCACATCCGAAAAGCTTTGGCGTCGAGGGAAGAGTGAGGGAACACAAGACAACCCGATTATAGACTGGTATCGTCCAGCCACAGATTCCCCTGCTCGCAAAGGCATAAAATACCTTCTTGCGAACGGCAAAGCAGCCCCGGAAAATGATAGGGCCGGGCGGTGGCACGAATTGTTGATCCAACAGCCCACAGAGGAAGACGAGGAGCTGGACGACTGGGATCCCTTCGCCCTCAGCGGTGACGTGGACGACGAAATACGGCAACTCTGTGCGAATGCAGCCCAGGCAATCGCTAGTGCCAAACAGAAGGCTGCCAATGCTCGGGAAGCTACCCGCAAGGCCAAAACCCAAGCTAGGCTGGCTGGAGTTCAGGTCCAAGAGATTAGAAAAGCCATCGAAAACGCACAAGCGCTCGTCGCCGATTACGTTGCTGGAAACGCGACAAGATTGACTATCTAGTCTAGATAGACATTTTGCATGGTGTGTAAGAATGTCTAGAGACATGAAAATGGATCGCTTTATCTGTGGCGTACTTGTATAATACCTATGTATCCATCACGAAGCCAAATGAAACCGCATCGTGACAACATTAACCATACGGGGGCCGCTAGCTCTCCACCTTCCTTGTTCGTAACCTTCGTGGGTGCTTCTCCGCAAGAAACAGAAGCGATACCATGGCGGCAACACAAAAGTATAGCATTGCCCTCATCTACCGAGTATAACCATCCGCATAGGCCTGTCTAACCAGAATTAAATCTTCAAACGGCACCGCTCCAAGGGCCTCAGGAGCCTTGGAAGCGGCAGACGCTTGCTCATCAGTCAGTTCAAGCCCGGCAGTGCTAGAACAGACATGACTACGCAACAAAGCTGAGCAAACAGCCAGGCCAATAGTCCCGCCCAACACTTGGATTTGTGTGACAGTCCCCATGGTGACAGCTGTAAACAGGGGCAATAGTTAGCTGAGAGTTGACAACAGGACGCCAGACAACATACGCATATCCTCTTGCTTGACCGCAAGCGGCATCATCATCAGCAACGTCCCAATGTTGAACCCGAACCCAAACCCCATCACGACCTGCAGACCATACTGGCTTGGTGGGATAGTCAAGTCCTCCCCGGTTGACAACCATCCAAACAACCTCCCCCACAGCCACTCTGCCACTTCCCTTTGATAAGCCATCGTCTTCATCTCTGCATCCATCCTGGCCTCTTCATCCCCCCAGAGATATTCATTCCTCCAGTTCGCCGAATCAAACCCATGCACCACATCCGGCACGAGCAGCCATTTCGTGCTCCCCCTTTGACACCATCCTCCATGTCCATGTCTTCCGCCCAAGAAAACCTGGTGTTTTTCGCATCCTCCAAACATCCCCTCCATTGAGCCCTCTCCGTTCGTCCCACCCTCTCATCAAGATCTGGCACCGGCCTCCCTCCCCCGACTGAAACAGTCTCCGTCAAACCGTGTTCGGGCAAACGATTGAATCTCTTCCATGTTGGGATGGCGGAGTCGATGCTAGAAACTCAGGCTTGTAAGCACTTATCGTCAAAGGCCCGTTGATAGTCTGCTTCTTTATCCCCAAAGTTGGTGTCGGCTCTGGACTGGGGTCGGTGGTGGTGAGAGAGCCGATCCTACCAAGCTCCTGGAAGCTTGTAATGCCGGCTTAGTCCGATCCTCTACGGCTTCGGTCTGGTGAAGAACTCGCCGCGTTCATTATCACGACTATTTGCCGGCCTCTCTTTGGCGTCGCATCAGGCGTCAACGGCACCTCTGCTGCTCTCGGTGGGGTATGTGGGCGGACCGACTGGTTGTTGATCGTTCCTGTTGCTTGGTCTTTTGATTGTTTTCCGTTCATTGCTTTGATCTGCGAGCCTTGGGGTGGTGCCATGGACTGGGCCAGGTCAAAGGTCCATCGATCTTCCTCTTCTCCCCGTTCCCTCTCCTTTGCCAACTCATAGGAGACGAGAGATAGCTCCGGAACTTCTGGGACAATACTGACTCTGTTGCCTGTTGTCAACTCTCTCAATCGGCTCTTGCTTCGCCCACGCGTAGCCACCTCCCGCTCGCCGTCCGGGTCTCTTTCCAGACTCGTGCTTCGCTGGCGAGCTTGAGCCGGCGGATGCCGAGCCACGTCTTCAGCCCCAAAGCCCATATGACGCCACCTCCGGTCGTGGGGTTAGTCCACAATCAGGCAGCTGCCACCTCTCTCAGCATCGTGGTCGCCATGACGATAGGGATCAGGCAAGTGACCCAGAACAACGTCATTCTCTCGTTTCGGACGACAGAGGAGAGCAATATGAGGATAATTCTGTCGTGCAGCTACAAGCACAGGAAGATCGGCCAAGCATACCGAGGCTGTCAGTGGATAAAAGCAACAACTACCGTGAGATGGCTCATACCGAGCTGTCTATACAGCCGTCCGCCCGTCAGAGGCGGGTCAACTTTCAGTAAAACATCAGTCATCGTTTACGTCGACGACGTTGCGACTACCAACGGTAAGAAGGACTGCTGCCCTATTGTGGGCAGTAACGCCAGGCAGGGCAAGGATGAGGATGTTGTCCGGCCGCTACGAGGGAAGCGCCACAAAATAAATACTTCGGCCCTTACTAAACGGTAGATACGCCTACGTTATACTAACTCGCTAATACTACAGGCTTAAAGACCATTACTAACCTAAGGCTTAAATCGCCGCTAAAGTTAGCGCGGTATTTTTAAGCCGCGACTTTTAAGGAGGTTCGCTTCGGATAAGAAGATAGTCGAAGCCGCTTTCGTAAGCTTTAAGGAATAACTATTTAAAGCGGTCCTTAAGCGCGTTTAGGTAGACGGGGTAGTAGCTTTTGAAATAGAAATCTCGTAGAATGTCTATACGAATTATGGGCGGGACGATTATATATTTAAAACTTAGCGGCGCAAATCATTAATAAGGAGGACTTTCTTAAGGTAGCGCGCCCTCTCTTTAAGTACTACCTCCACAGTCGAAGATATTAGAGAAGATAAGTATTTCCAGGTCAAGGAGATTTAGACTTACGTCGAGAAGGAAGGCGGATAGAGTACCTGGTTAAATGGGTAGGGCATGGGTACAAGGATAATACTTAGGAACCCGCTACGCATTTGGAACAATATCCTGAGGTCCTGCAGCAGTTCAACCAGAGGAAGGGATTGCCCATAACCTCTTGAATGTGTATTTGAGGCTGAATTTAGGATAGTTTGGGTGATGCGCACCTTAGTTTGTCAAGTTATTAGCGAACAGAGCAGATATTCATGTATGCTTCATGTAATATCTACATAGGAGGGTTATTTTGTAAGCGTAGACTCTAGACGCGGGGTATAATCTTCTCCGTGAAAGGGCGAAAGGTCGAAATGAAGAAGGTCTCTAATCTTTGCCTGCCACTGCTTGATAATGTCTTACTATTTACTCTCACGTTGCAGGAAGCCAATACCATCGTAGCAAAAGCCGAGGAGCGCAGCCTGATTATACAAGGTATAAGGCGTGGGTGTCATGTCTCCCGATGGGCGTTGATGGTGCTGCCGCACTACGGCTCGGCTTCTATCGTCTATCTTATAGTCTAAATATTGTTATATACGTATAGTTCCCTCGCTCTACGCATAGCCTCAAGACCTAAAGAGGTGAATCCGATCGCTATTGGCCTACTCGTTCTTACCTATTCGTGAGTAAAGTGGTTTGTTTATCTACGTTAGTTTATGGTTCTTGGCGGTTTCTGTGGGTCGAGGGCGCGTGAAGGTTGGGTAATAAGGGGGGTGGTTAATAATAAAACTAGGCTAGAGTAGCTAAAAACCGGTATTTTATTGTGAAGTTTGGCTTCCGAGTTTTAGACGCTAATATGGGTGGGCTGTTGCCTCTTGTGGAAATGTTGTTGAGAGTATTGTCAGCAAGTAGCAAAACTTACTAAATTACTACACTATAGCTTTCTATTTAGTTTGAACCTTTGCTTCTCTAGACTCATCGACTTCTTGTGCGTTTGCTAAGACGGCGACACTTACTACGTAGCAACAAAGAGCCCATACCCAAAAGAGCCGCCAGGGGAATACCAGCAAGATCTTAAACAACTAATTATATCCCTACGATAGTTAAACACCTTAATCAAAGAGTATAGGACCTCGGATTGATACTAACCCACTATTTCCAGATCTTTTTGCTAAGCTAGCCGGACCGCATGACAACGCCACGCCTCCTTCGAACCACTGCTGAGGCTAATTGCTATTGCTATCCTATAATATTGCCACGTATACGGGAAGATATGCGTTATCTTTTGATACCAGATTGAAAATGTAAAGAATTATTTGGTCTATAAATATGTTCTGTACCCCACCCCCCTTTGGTGGTAAATAAGAAAAGGAAATATAGGAGAGAAAGAATATAAAAATCGAACAGTTCAACATTCCGAGAGAATGAAAATATTATAGTACGTCCCGAGTAATAACCAATGGCCATTTTGCACCCTTGTACGGCAGAAGCGTATGTATATTATTCCAGTGGCAACTATAATACGTCCTTGTTATCGTAGGTAATCCAGCGCCTGTCTTGTCCTAAACCATACGCATAACACACCGGATTACCCAGTTGTTTTGATCTTTCCATGGTGGCTGCGGCTATTTGGAAACGCCCGATACTTGTGTTAATATAAGCGCTGGCATGATCGAACGATAGATGGGTAGTAGCTGAACCAACATCTATCGTCTGTGTGCAGGATCCTGATGCCGCATCCCAGATCTTTGATGGTGTTGTCACCTGAGTGTTCTCGAGGATGTCTGGCGGCCTATGAGTGCTGGAGAGTGGTTGGCCGTCTGCGACTGGTCGGAAGTCGCACGCAAGATGAACCTCGACTTCATTCCCGCGTAATATGGTCAGGATCTGACGTACTTTAGATCACCCTCACTTGCTCTGGAGAACTTTGACACGCCATGTCCTCCGTCAAGGCACTGGTGGGAACCATATTCTACTGATCATCACCATCCATACCCTGGCTCCTTTTCCACTATACAGACCACCCGTCGTTGGTGCTGGTCGTGCGTGCTATTAGGGGGGAACTCTTAACGGAATTCGTGTTGAATTGCCTGTTAATTGCAGTTTATTCGGCCAAATGCACATGACAGGAGCATACTGTATTTATTTTAATACGCGAACTATTTTAGTCGCGATAATAATAACGATAACGGAGTTAGCGCCAAAAAAGATAATACTCCCCGGGAGAGTTATTTGTATGGAGAATAAGGTCTCGAGATGCAGTGACTTGTGAGAAATGGATGGCTGTGAGCGCGCAGGATGCAACGCCATCTAAATATAGGCAAGTCTTGACTGATGCGGGGAGCCGCAGCGAGTACATACCGTTCATATAATCCACTTGTCGAATATCCATTTCGCATTGTAATACTTTCAAGAGACGATGATGGCACAATAGTGTGATGTTGTTGATGCTGGATGTGGTTACCGGAGTCAGTTTGTTAAAACAGCAACGCAATAAGTACAATAGCAGGTGGGTTAAACCGTTTTAGTAGAAGCGATGACCAGATGTATTGTGTATACAGGTACAACTGAGCTTTGATGAGTTTCAACCAGGCTTCAGCGTCTGATAAAAACACGAGTATTTCTGACCATCATCAGACCAGGTGGCATCCAGACCACGCCCCATTAATCCCTACAATCCCGAAACTCCGCATCGCCACTTGCATTTCTTCCATATGTCACCATCAGCAATACATCTCATCTGTCTTTTCAATTGGCATCCAGTTCCAGATCACCTCGTCTTGGTGCGGAGCAAGATGCATTGCATTTGGATCTAGATTCTTTGTTCCTCGGTCGGTGTCATTGAAAAGTATTTTAGACCACCTACAAGAGGGGGGGGAGGCGAGAGAATTATGGTTATGGTCTCGAGGCCAAACTAGCTCCGAACTCGACGACTTTTAGAACGTACTGGTGGCACTTTGATAAGACAGGAGATGGAGTTGTCTGGCCAAATGTATTTGGGGACCCTATAGTTTCGGACAGCAGATCGTCATCAATTGGGTTTTTACATCTACTCCGGAGAGCGACCGGTTGGTTATCTACTTGCGTTTATTTGCCTTTAGAGTTTTTGGTTAAAACATACACGAATCAAGCGCGAAAGCCGCCCTCGTCCAGGAATATCTTTGCCGCTGAGTTATCTGCGGCCTGTTTGACGTTTTGCCATGATGTATTAAGCCCCGCAGGGGCCCTTTGAAAAGACGTAAGCCGTGTAGGAAATATCTCAACCATTTGTTGGGATTCACTCCCTGCCGCGCTGGCCGAGGGTGTGGGCCGCGAGTCACATTCCATCTGTTATGCCGCACTGGTTGAAAACAAAAATTAACGTGTCGGGCGGTATACGGGGAAAGAGGTAGATTCTTGGAGGCTGGAGGGTGAGGAAAGTGTGGGACAGTTTGAAGGAAGGGGTTGGAGGAAGGGTTTGGAGGAAGGGTTTGGAAATAGGAAAAGGAAACTTTGTGTGGGAATCGGAGTACAGATTGCGCCATTTTGCTCGCCCACACTGGACCAACGACATGATTTCAAGAAGCAATGTCCACGCTGCATCGGAGATGAAACTTGTCTCATGGGGAATCAGAACTTCCCATTGAATATTGTGAGCGGTGAGCGCCTTTACATCAATGGAGGCACTATATTCAACCAGAACATTTTCGACCCCAACTAGAGGCTCATTGCCTTACTGGACTTTGAAAAATCAGGGTTTTTCTTGGGAGTCAAAGGGCAAGCTCGCCCAGGGAAGCACCATACCCATTGGCAAACTTCAGCGTTTTCTGCACTGAAACCTCCAGTGATTCAGAGAGTTCCATTACTGTTGTCACCCCTGATGCCTCTGCAGTTTCAGAGGGGGAAGATGATTCGACACTTGTTTCTTTAGCACTTGATCGCTGAATAGCAGGTCCGGTGTATAAACACGGATTTTGTAGCCGGTTTTCGAAGTCTGGTTATCCGGCTGGTGGCAGAGAGTTTGGGCAAGCCGGGCACGCTCAGGTATGTAGGTCGATTGCCGGCTCAGTATGTTCCTACTCTTCTTGCCCATCGGTACCAATATCCCAGGTCGGGTAGTCTTTCCGGTAAACTTGTCGGATGGTCTTTTCCGCTGCCTCCTTAGCCGCAATCAACTTGGTGAGTTCTCAAACGGCATCCACAAGCTCTCGCAGGGCGGCTTCGTCGTCGGTGCTATCGGGGGACAAAGGTAGCGAAGCGTCCCCATGCTTCATCGGCGGGAGCGGACGGGGTGTCGCGGATGGACGGCGTGGGGGAGGCTGGAAACGACATGGTGCTGGCTGGGAGTGAAGCCTAAGGTTGAACAGGTGGGACTGAGTATGTATATCGGGATGTACGCGCACGCAGGCTAGCGTGGAAGATAGTACCTCTCGCGGGATATTCATCCATCCAATCGGATGATAATCCAGCGTTCGGTGTGCCGTATGGTTTGTGTGCTGTTCGGGGATATGAGGTCGCGAATATCACGGCAATGAATATCTTCGAAACTGTGGCTGGCAATGACTTGAGATCCGAAGACAGCCGAAATTGTGGTTCTGGACCGCAAACGACGATGCAGCTGGTGGCGCTTGGAATCTCTTCGGTGCCGAAAAGTCTGACGCCTTTCATTGATCACGATCTGGTTGCCCAGCATTTAGAGGGCGAATTCAAGGGCCGGGAGAAACCTATGGTATCGGTTTTTCTCCAACGATTCGCGTTCCTCCCGAGGAGTGCCCAAGTATGCATGGGACTGTTGCCAGTTGCTGGTCTGAAACTCGGAAAGTCTCCACGGCGGTGGATAGTGAGAGTGAGGGAAGCTATCGTCGGAGCCATTGTCTGAGCCGCCGTCTAAACTTGATGGCATCGTAGTTGTTTCCGCATCGAAGGCCGCAAAAAAGAAGAAGGGAGGCATGGTCGCATGATTAAGAATCCCGATTGCGTGTTGCTGGTGTTGAAGCCAGGGGTAATGAGCGAGGAAGGCGCCTGATGCCAGCAAACTGATGATATTTTAACAAGCCTGGGTGGATAGCAATGTGGTTGATTAGTTGTGTGAACGAGAGTCAGGTGAACCACTGGCAACTTTGCAGAGGATGCCAACGAGAGCTCCACCTGACGGGATGCGACTGGTGCTGCTTTCGGGTTTCAAAACACCAAAGAGAAGGACGATCGGGAAGGGACGACAAAGACCTCGTTGATGCCACAGAAATCAGGATGAAGGCTCGGGGGCCACACAATTTCCTCATTCGAGATCGCTCTCTCCTGGCAGGCGAAACTGTTCTACGAAGTACCTTATGGATTTGCCATCTCCTGATGTTCTAAACATTGGTACCAATTGCACAACAGCCAAGAGTAAGAATACTCACATCAACCAATCTACGCATTTGCGACTCCCGTTTCGCTCCGGAGGATTTTATCTCAGGATCTGCTACCTAAGATCTTCTAAACGGGGCTGCTGAAAGTCTCGCTGAGACGGGAAGCTTGGCGAGTTTGTTAGCGCATCATTTGACCGCCTGGTCACCCCCATGTCGCAATCCGGTCACTGTCATCATCACTTCCACCAACTGTGTCATCTTTACGCCGGGATCTCCTGCCCTCCAGTACTTTGCTCCAGAGTCAATTACGCTTTCTGTTTCAAAGAGAAAAAGAAATCATTGTTTCCCACGGTGGCCTGCAGGTTGGCAGTCACGGCAGTATGGAGAGATGGACAAATGTGACAAACCAGCACCGCCCCGCACCTTCCCACTGGCTGTTTTCCCCATAATGTTGACATCATCACTATCATCATGACTGTGCTGCATCCTTCCGCTTTCGGCAACCCCAACCAAAAGCTTAGAGAATGGAGCAAACACTCCCTGGGGTTCTCCGCCAGAGAGGTGGCTGACATGAGAGGGGGAAAAAGTATTTATTGACCTCCAATCACCCACTGCCATCTTCATTTTACCACGCACCATCCGCTCTCTGAATCAAACATCCACAATCATCTCCCAATCCAACAACTAGTCTCACAACCTCTTTCAAGAGTCCCTACTCAATACACCAAACTAAAAATGGCCAGCAACAACCCCGGAAACTTTGCCAACCGGTATGTCCTCCCCTCTAGCTCTGCCCACGACCCCGCAGGCACCACACCCACATGGCCAAACCCTAACCAATCTTCTTTTCTCCAGTCCCAAGGAGGAGGTGCGCGAGATTGCTTCCAAGGGTGGCAAGGCTAGCCACGGCGGAGGCGGCACTCAAGCTGCCAACGACGACTCCTCCTCTGGCAACAGCGGTACGGGCAACCAGGGCTTTGCCAGCATGGACCCCGAGAAGCAGGTATGTATCTTGCCATTCTTTGCTATGCGTATTGCCATGAGACATGGCTGACTGCTTTTGTGCCACAGCGTGAGATCGCTTCCAAGGGTGGCAAAGCTTCCTCCGGTAGCTTTGAGCCCGGTAGCGAGCGTGCCCGCGAGGCTGGCAGGAAGGGAGGACTCGCCAGTCATGGTGGCAACTCCGAGGAGTAGGGAGACAATTCTGATGGTCGCACTTTCATGATATGAAATGACATTTCTGATGGCGCAATTTGGCAGAGGACAATTGGGACTGTGTTTGTACAATAGGAAGCAGATAGCAACGTCGGGCTCCGGATTTGACTTCTACTTTTTATGAATATTCGCTCTGACATGGCTCATGACACGTTCTTCCAAAACAATATTATCGTCCTGGCTGTAATTTGTTTCTACATCTTGACATTGGTCAGGCAACAACTCCTTAAAATCATTGGTACTCAACGTGTAAAAACTGCAATGACAAAATGTCCTCCGTGACATCAAACATCTCAGCCACACGTGGCTGGTGGTCGCGCCACCCCCTGAAACCACCACCAAATCTCACCAACAAGGGTATAGAGGCTATTCAGACATCGTGAACAGTTCATATAATTAAGGCAATCCCCGTAGTCTATGAAAAGACGAAAGGCAGATAACAGGGCAAGTAATAGTGATAATATATAGATTCTTCACCACTCGAGCAGGGCTACCCGTGAACTACTTCTGATGAGTACCTAGGTCGAGGTTGCCTTCTCCGTCACCACCGGCCCGCCGTCCATATCCTCGTTGACTTGAAGCATTGCCTAAAATGCTTAAGAACTAGATCCTCCACGTCTGCGCTGACCCAACAGGGCCCAGCGGTCCTCCGCTACAGACGACCGAGCCTGAGCGTTTGCTGGGGGCTGCTGAGCAAGAGGGTCGGCTCCAAACTTGACAAACACACTCCAAGGTTTCAAACGTCCGAGGAAGACCGATGCGGCCTCCGCCTGAGCGTGAAAGCAGCAGAACCTGAACTCAATCTCATGCTTGGAGTCCCGATGCGAGGTAAGCTTGACTTCCTCCTCCTGATAGATGAAGTAGCGACTGAACAGAGCTCTGAGCTTCTTCACATCGACAAAGTCGGCAGGGCCCGAGATAATGAGAACGCGCGACTTGGTGCCCCGGGGATCGGACGGCGGTGACTTGACCTGGTTCCAGGAGACCATCGCCCGGATCCTGGTCGACCCATTGTAGAAAGAAAGACCGCCGCGGTGAATGAAGTTGTATACCGCCTCAGCCCCAGCGCGATCGAACATGATGAGCTTTGCCGCGGCCCCTGTCTGGCCCTTGTCGGCATTGGCAGGGATGATGTGGACTGACCAAACCCTCCCGAAAGGTCCATGGGGGGCGAGGGCTTTCAAGAGCTGAGCGGGGGTGACATCCGCAGGCAACCGGGTGATGAACAAGCTGGTGTTCTCATTGTCGGAAACCATGCCGCGCTGGTTCTTGGGATTGTTCATATCGCCGCGGTAGTTGCGGGAGAACCCGCGACTCTCCCGCTCGTCCCCCAACGCTTGCTCGTCGGCCTCGTTACGGTTGGCTAAGGCCTTCATGGGGCGGAAAACTGTGGCAATACGTTCGTCGTCACTGAGCGCTATCTCATCAAAGGTAACGCGCTCGCTGGCGCGGCCAGCCCGGCTATCGGGACGGGAGCGGTTGGAGTTCATTTTGCTGAGCTACCTGCGGAAACCGTTAGTAACTGGGTAGCTGCTACTGTTGAACGATTGATAGAATTTCAGACATCTGACTTACTTGGGATTCCTTGATTATGTTGATGACGGGAGAGTGATGGGTTGGTGTCGATGATCTTACGAGGGAGGAAGACCAAGGTAGTTTGGAACCCAGGTTGAGTTGTTCTGGGAAAGTGGAAGCAATCAAGGGTTTATTTGCGGTCAAAATCATATAGCTGTTGCGGGAGCAATCATGCCAACAGTGAATAGCGCGTTGGGAATTTGTCCCCAGTTGGGAGCGAGACTAGCAGTGATATAACGCATAATAGAAGTGAATTGAAGTGTTGGCTCGTGGCTGTCGAGGGTCTTCAAGAGCAAGTTAAGCAAGTCAAGAGCAGGAAGAAGGTCTTCTGGTCCGAATTCACCACAACCATCACGCTTTGAAGCCCCGTGATGATCAGTCATCCGCAGCGAATACCTCGCGTGTTGAGTGTCAGCCGTTACTTCGAAGCTGTTGAGTGAGTGGACCGAATTGTACTGCTCTAATGGCTGGTTACAGCCTTCCAATATTCCAACTAGCATATTCCCCAGTGATAAGATTGTATTTTCGGCAATTGCAGCAACGATGACCACCAGCGTTTAGGTCCGCGTTGTATTCCTTGTCCTGCCTTTGCCTCGGGCACATCCCAAAACAGCGAGTTTCGAAAGGCTTCCACCAGGGCTCTAAAAGAGCAAAATCGTCACACAGGGCAGTTGAAAACTGTGTTTGACGAAAGTCACGATGGTTCTTCATTATGCTACTATACGTAGTTGGGCACCCCTATCTCTGACTGTTTCCTTCTGTCGTTCTTGGCTGGTGACGACATGTCGAAAACAATTCATCAGGCCCCGGCTCTTCTGTCTGTATCCGCCCAAGGTCTGCCCCCTTGATGTTGATCCATGTTGGGCTTTCCTGTCTCAAGCAGCTGTTTCTATTTCTCACCACCCTGCCATATTTCACCATACCCAAGGACTCTGGGCTTGCTTTCACCCCTGAGAAGAGATATGGTGAAATATCAACAGAAGACTTTCTCAGAACCATCACTTGGATGTACAGCCCTAGAATTCCTACCCCAAGTATGCACCCACCAATAATAATGGCAGTCTGCAGGTCGCGCTGCCCGCTTCAGGCTGATCAAGCCGGTGGCTTTTGGCAAAACATGTTTCATTGCAACAGAAGTTGCGGCTTACACATAAATCAGGTGTCAACCACTTCCTTGAACCTGAGCATGGTTTACCTTTAAAATTTGATGTTGACAAAACACCCTCACTTCAAGACGGATGTTGCACTAAGATACTTATGCATTCCCAGTGTTCCTTGAACATAATTTGATACTGACAATGACTGCGGCAAAGGGCTTGCCATATACCCCCACTGGCTGAACTCCGACCTAGACTCCCCCATTCCAAAAATCACATTCTGTCCGAAGTCCTTTCAGATGTAATTCCGAAACTCCGCAACGCCTCCCTTAGGACCGATGCAAGATAAGAATGCGGCGGGAATGCCTCTGGAAGTAAGTGCGTCTCGATTCTTAACTTTCTGATATATTTTGGCAGGGATGATGGCTGACGGTGTCTTTTACCTTCGCTTTCCAAGTTTGCTGGCGAGTTGGTCCCTTTCAACCCTTGATTCAACACTTGCGATCTCAACCCTCACAAAGGCGGCTTCAGAACTTTGTATCGACATCTCGGTATGGGATTTCGGGATCGGTGTCTCCCGCCGCACCAGTATGCGGATGGAGCTTTCCCAGCAACCAGATCTGCATTCGGGACGTCACCAGGCTTGCAATGAAAGTGGGCTTAGCATCAAAGCATAAAACTGTCAACCCTCAGACGAACTGACGAGCCCATGACGTTCATCCAGTGAGAACAGACGTGTCCAAGCGCATTTAAAGTAGTGCTATCACTGAAGTTCGTTCTCTCTTTTTCTAACTTTTCCTCCTCTCACTGTTTCCCGCATCAAGCTTGTTCTGCTCTCGCCAGCAATCCACAATGGCCCCCGATATCCCCAAAGAGCAGAAGGCTCAGGTCATCACGGCTGATGGCGGTGCAGTCTCCCCTCAAGTCTTCTCCATTACCAGATGTTCACACGCTAACAAAAGGCGCCAGTGATGACGTTAAAAACCATCCCCGTCCCCACTCCGGGCCCCCAAGAAATCCTGATCCATATTTTGTACTCGGGCGTCTGCCACACCGACCTCCACGCCCTCAACAACGACTGGCCCCTGCCCCGCAAGACCCCCCTGGTGGGCGGTCACGAAGGCGCCGGCGTCGTGGTGGCCAAAGGAAGCCTGGTTGCTTCGGGCCAGGGCGTCGATGTCGGAGACTACGTGGGGATCCCCTGGCTCAACTCCACCTGCCACCACTGCACCTTTTGCATGCAAGCTCAGGAGATGCTTTGCAGCGAGGCGCAGCTCTCGGGGTACACGGTCGATGGCAGCTTCCAGCAGTACGCTGTCGCCAACGCCTCGCATGTGGCCAAGTTCCCCAAGGATAAAGGGGTTGAGTTGGACGCTGCTGCGCCCATCCTGTGTGCCGGTCTGACGGTCTACACTGGGCTCAAGCAGAGCGAGGCCCGGCCGGGGCAGTATGTGGCCATTGTGGGCGCAGGTGGTGGCTTGGGAAGTTTGGCGACACAGTACGCCAAGGCCATGGGCCTACACGTCATTGCTATTGACGGGGGTCCGGAAAAGGGGGAGAGCTGCAAGAAGTTGGGGGCCGAGGTGTATGTGGATTATTTGAAGAGCAAGGACCTGGTGGCGGATGTCAAGGCGGCCACGGCGGATGGGCTGGGACCGCATGGGGTTTTGCTGCTGGCCCCGATGGAGAAGCCGTTTCAACAGGCGACCGGGTATGTGAGATCTCATGGGACGGTGGTTTGTATTGGCATGCCAGCGGGTGCCAAGGTGAGCATGCCGGTGTTCGACACCGTGGTGAGGATGGTGCAGGTGAAGGGGTCTTATGTTGGGAACAGACAGGATATGGTGGAGGCGATAGACTTCTTCCTCCGTGGGCTGGTGAGGGCACCGGTCAAAGTGGTGGGTATGAGCGAGCTCGGTGGTGTGTTTGATGCCATGAGGGAGAACAAAGTGGTGGGAAGGTATGTACTGGATACCAGTCGGTAAGCCGGAGGTAACGAGGTCTCTCACAAACGCGTGGAGTGTCACAAGTTTCAATAAAACGCAGTTCGGTGGAGACTCAATGCTGGCCTTTGAATTCTGTGTGTGTCGCCTCTGGGGAAAAGGGAGACTTCTGTAAGGCTGTAATACAGTAATGTGTGGAGATGGGAGGACAAGGTTAAATATAAAGTATCTCAGTTATAGCTCAGACGTTGCCCTTTATGACCATACAACAACAACCACGTGTTCCTGGTTATATCTTCAACTGTCCCTTGGGCGTGCACACCAACCACCCTGTTGATAAATGACAACATCTTTGGGGATCCAGCATTGCCACCCTGCTGAACATGTGTGAAGCCAGCACCGACCCCAGCAAAACTTTTCAAACATGCCTATAGGGGCATGTATGGAGGTGAAGCGTGGACCGTGCTGGTCCATTCTAGCATCTCTCCCACACAAAATCCCAACTTGTTCCCCGCCCTCAATCGGCCCCCATTTCCAAGCAGAAACCTCACGACCCCCACAATCTCCCCCACAGCGACCTCGACCTCGACCGCGTCCTGTCCGGGGCCGGTAGTTTGTACGAGGCGCCGTTGTCGTCTTCGTCTTCGTCTTCGTCTTCGGATGAGGATGAGGATGAGGATGAGGATGAGCTGGAGGAGCCGTTTCGGTCATGATTTTGGGCTGAAGGTTGAGGCTCTGGGGCTGGGGAGGGGGATGGAGAGGGCGAGATGGTGATGACTTTGAGGTTTGGGTCTTGCAGTTGTAGGGAACGCTGGCGGTTGAGGGTTGGGCTGGCGGGTGGGATGGTGGTGCTTGTCCTTCGAGCGGTGGCCGGAAGATGTCGTGTGGGGGTGTTGCTGATTGGGGGGCTGACGAGACTGTTGTTCTCGATGGTAGTTTTGGGAGGCGGTGGGCTGGGAAGGAGGGGCGTCTTGACTTGGGGATTTGAAGAGGCGGGAGACTCGTGGGTGTTCGGACTTGTAGGTGCGAGATGATTTGCCTTGGATTTTCCAGTGCCACCCGTACGCTCTTGGTCCTGTATTGGGTTTGACAGCAGCGTGGGAGGAACAGGAACCCCTAGTGTGTCGATTTCCCAAGGTAAGTGCTGTGCTGTGCGTGTCTCAGGTGACTTTGAGCCAACGACAGGAGCAGCACTTCCGCACCTAGGCTTCAGTATTGATGATGGTATCACAGGCCGAGGGTTGCGCCTGAGCGGTACAGGCAACGGCGGTACAGACCTTCCCTCAAGACCAGGTGGATTAATCTTGTCCGGAACCTTGGTCGTGGAATTCAAGTTGGTTGGCACGGGACCTGGGTGCAAGATTGTTTCGACATATTTTATTTCTCTCGCGTTTAGTGGACTGGCTTGTGGCTTTTTAGGGGTTTGATATATGAATCTTCTCCGTGAAAGAGTTGGAATGTGTCCAGAAGCAGTGTGAGATGGTTGGTGTGAGGTAGTGAGTATGTCGGGTGAGTTTGACCTCAGTTTTGAGGTCGTGGCGGCAGTGTTAGATGGTTGAAGAGTCGTGAGTATGTCGGGGGAGTCTGACCTCGATGTTTTCGAGGTTGTCTTCGGTTTCATACTGGCGGCAGTTCTGAGAATCGACCTAAGCTTAGGCCCTGTTGGGGCACTCATGGTCTTTGTAGTAAGCGTAGCTTGTGTCTTTCGCCTTTTGGGTATTTGGTCTTCGCCATCGGAGGAAGACGCTATGGACACATTCGAAGAGGACACTGATTCCGAGTGTCCCGATTGAGCTTTTGTCCTCTATAGTAAAATTGTTAATATTGACTGTTGATCGTTGGGTTGCATTTTGTTCACTTACATCCCTTGCTTCCTTTGCCGGTCTCCTTGTTTTCGAGTTGGGCGTTTTGGAGGGACCTGGTGACGTGCTCTTTCTTTTTTGATTCTTCTGGCGAGAACCAGCTTTTCTGCCTCGACTTCTTGGTACGGGTGGCGTTGGGCTCTCTGCTTCCACTGCGCTTTCTTCTTGTCGGTTTTCGGAAGAACCTCTCCCTGTTTTGGAGGGACCCCTTGTAATCCGTTTTGATGTTCTTTCCGGCGTTCCTCTCGTTCTAGAAGACACCCTCTGAGCCTTTGTGGCTCGTGTGGAAATGCCTCCCCTTGAGCGACTTCGAGAGGTGCTCCGTCTCGCCGCGCTGTTTCCTCTTCCTCTTCCGTCATCATCGCCATCTTGTACCCTGAACGTTGTCAGTCGAATGTGTAAAAGTCCCTGTGGCTCCACCGCCCAGTCAAAGCGCGACCCTATCGCATCACCCTCTGTGATCAGGATATCACCATGCGTCAAATCAGCAGTCAAATATGTCGGGATCTCATTGCGAGGCCGTGATTGACCATCAGAACTGTCCAGTATCTCCTGTCTCTGCTTTTCGTATTCACCGCGCGACATTTTTCTTCCCTTGAGTTGTTGTAGAGCCTCGAAGTGCTTCGTCTCTGGTAACGGGGAGCCATCTAGCACCCGTCCTGCCTGAGTGTGGTTCCAGTAATCAGGGCTGTATCGCCATCTCATTCTCACCGGGCTTCCCAAGCACAAGGTTGCCGTCACGTCTCCGGCTCTGTTATATCCAGCAGGCTTGAAATATTCCTTTTGTTCACCGCCCACGTACGCGGTGACTGTCAACAACCAGGGGTCCTGGGTCTTTTCTGTACGCTTCACCGTCGTATCCTGTATATCCTCCTCCAACAGCTCTGTGAGTATTTCAAGCACCGTTTGAACAGACGCGGGTGCATTTTCCAAAGGCACCACCGGATAAAATGCACTCGGGTCCCCTTTCTCTCCAAAGCTGATCTCGTATCTGTTGATCCTGGTGCCTGTGAATCTATTCGACGCTGTATGGCGCTGGAGATCAAGGCGGCTTCCGTGATTGGCCTCCCAGATGATACTGTTGAATAGATCGTCGAATATCGTGCCTGGGGTAGCTGTACGGGGGGGTCGGGACTTGAGGAGCTTGATCACGCTTCCACCGGGCATTTCATGCTTAAACTCAATGAAAGTAATCCCGTGGCTGATGAATTCCCGCTCAAGGTTTCGGGGATCGTGGAGGCTGTGAAATGGATGTCTGGCTTGAGTGAAACCTCTTGATCGTTCTTTCAAGAGATTTTGGAGTTCTGGTATATCGACAGTCAGAGAGACGGCGTGACCGCACCCGTATGGTCCTTCACAGATCCACAACGCCCAGTGGAATCGCGAAACACATTTCCTGCATTTAGGGCAGACTGACCCCTTTCGCATGTCAGTTGGCTGTGTTGGGCGTCTGAGTCGGTTGGATCCGAAGTCAAGGCCTGCCTCGCCGGTTGATGCTACCCTCTCAAGCAGCCAATGCGTGGAGAATAAAACATCCTCGGACAAGACCTCCCCGTTTTCTGCCGTTGAGAATTTCTCACATCGTGGGTTGGCGCACACCCAGACTTTGTATCTTTTCGGTGATGGTGCTCCACATTCTTCGCAAACTCTGCTGCGTGTGGGTTTTCGGTCGCTGATAATTTGCACCTGACGTTGCTTTTGATCTCGATAGCGAGCCGAGGCGATATTGTTGGCCTTCCACCACGGTGGTTGAAGGAACTGCCGTCTCTGGTACCGGGCCATCGTCACTGTGGCATCTCCACCTTCTTGATACTCATGCCAGAGATCGGTTAGAACATATTCTCCGAGCACCGCGTATCTGCATGGCTTGGCGGGTGCTATTCGGAGGTGTAGATTGTCGGAATTGGACCCTTGAAAATAGAGAATTTGCAGCTTAGCTTTACGGTGCATCAACAAAGTTGGGTCGTGAGGGGTTAGATTGGCATTTACCAAGAATCAGCCCAATAGGGCTCTGCTCATCTTTGGCTCTTTGTGCCGCCTCCAGCCTGGATGTAGAGTGTCGCATGTAGCCAGAATTGGTAATGTCGCCGCCGGCATCGAGTTTTATGATGACGATATCGTCGTCAAAGTAGCTGTGTTCCCCCTCGTGGCCATCAATCAATGCCCCACGTATTATCCTGTTATGTTGATAGATCCCCTGTTGCGCTTGCCTAAAGAAAGGAAGACTTTCAATCAGATCCGTCCTGTTTGCTGCCCATGCTGGCGCTAGACCTCTAGGGTCAACCGTGGCTTGGCCATCATCATCATCGGGACTATTATTAGCATTGCGAGTGTCCTCTTTTGGTGGCATGATGAGCAACAATACATCTATCTTGGGGGGGTCGAGAAAAGACGGTGAAGGCCAAACAACCACCAAAACAGGTTGAATATGAACATTTTGGCAGCAAACACGATTCGGGTTGAAGGAGCTTGACCGGAAGCTCAGAACAAAGAAACGACATTTCTTGCCGCATTCACCACAAGACTCTTCCCCTTTCCGGGACCCACTGGCTAGTACCTGATTCCGCTAGATTCTCCTCGCACACAGGAAGCAATTAAATAGTGTTTTGTTTGTCAAAACCCCTCGGGTGCACAATGGCCTTGCTTGCTGGAGTTGATCTGGGCACTGGGTAGAATATGACTAGGCATCGACGATATCGCAAAATTGATGCGCAATGGGATCTCCGCCACAGATTATGCAAGTGGACGCAGATGACTGGCTGCAGGTTGTATGGAGATCGCGGCGATGATGATTGGGCGCGCCGTATCTGGGTAATGGACTGGAGTTGGATCGAGACTCGGGGATAATCTTGACCCTGGCCATCCTTCAATGTCACCCAGCTGCTAGATCACGGGGGAGGAGGGCAGAGGTGGGCGCTGTCACTCGCACCACTTGGACCAACCACAAAGCTGGCTGCTGTGTTCGATTGGGAGGGGCGTTATCCTTTTTATCAAGTGCAACACAGGGCACATTGAATGGATCCCCTCCACCTCCTCGTAAAATTCACGAGAGTAGTTGTCCTGTATGTCCCGTAATAAAACGACGATATAGTGTGACCAAATGCCGGCAGGCAGCAGCAAAAGTTGAGACAAGAGGGGGTTGTCGACGGAGTCCTTTCCGATTCGAAGCAGCACCGCTGGGCTGGAAGCTAGAGAGCTGGTAGCTGCAGCTTGGAGAGAATTTGGCGGCGGCATGTCAGTTTGCCCGTTCATGTTTGCTTTTCCACCCCCACCTGTCCCGGTCGCCCGCTACGCTACGACCCACCGACCGCATCCATCCGCGAGGCAATATGTACTCCGTACTCCATTTCAGACCAGATCACCCACCTGGGCCAACCCATCAAATTTGCAATGATGTGGACGGACAAGAAAAAAGAAAGAAAAACCGAGTAGGCACCGCCGATTGACATGCCGACCGCTCAGTCCGATTGGACTGCACCTCTGACTTTGCTGTGGCATGTTTCTGAACTATTAACACCAGCCGCACAACCCTCTGCCACTCAGCGGTTTTGTGTCTCGCGGCGTACCCCTCATCTGCCGAACCTGTCCCTCCACGATGCAGTGCAGATGCGAGGGGGTGTAGGGACGACACCCATCAGCATAAAAAAAGACACTACCCCCTAGCTGGCTGCTCTCTTGCTACCCATCATCATCGCTTCGGATCCATCTTCTTGGAAACCCCAATACTCATATGCAACAGCCCTCAAGCTTACGATCCCTCCATCAATCAATCATGGGTTCAATCCCAACCGTGCCCGACATCACATCAGTGCACATCGTTTTTCAACGACATGCCGAATCGGTTGCCGAGGTACCGACGAATCTCGACTACCCGCCACTAGAGAGTCTGGAGGACCTGGAACACATCGTCGAGAAGAGGAGAGAGACCGTGAGGACGAGTTTCTTCTTGCCGGATGGTTTGACGAACGCGGGGGCGCAGACCTGCCTGGATTACAACAAGGATGTGCCCGGGAAGCTAGACAATGTCTACTTGTTGGTCTCGTCGCCATGCACAAGGGCGATAGAGACCATTCAAGGTCTCTGCCCATCGTTCCAGCTCGTGGGCCCCTTCCATGCCCCTCAGGGCGAGCCCCCTATGAACCCCAGGGTGCCAGAGCTTGAGAAGAGCGTCTACGTCCATCCCGGCCTTATGGAAGCGTCGACAAGACCATCGGACATACCCGGAATACCGACTGTTCGCGAGAACGCCCCTTCGCGACAGTCGGTAACATTTTTGAGACTCAAGGGCGGCACGGATGAAGATGCTCTTACCATTCTCAATGAGCAGGAGGTGGATATTACCCGGATGGTTTGGCCAGAGGGTGTCGAGAACAGATGGCAGACGGATGAAGATCGGACCTGTGCTGTTACCGACATCCCGGATCTTGCCAGCATTGACCAGGCAGTGAAGGAGGCTCGGATCTGGCTCCGGGAGTGGGCCGCCAGAGTCCTGTCGGTTCATCAAGCACAAGGGAGGCATGACACCCCACGGATTGTAGTCTGCACTCACGGCGGCATACTCAACTTTGTCACCCAGGAGTGGCGAACCCAACTGGAGCAAAGGCCTTCAGATGGGAAGTGGGAGCTTCGATCTCCCACAGTGCTCGACCACCTCGACGCAACGGTATGGACCTTCGAGTCGGCAACGGATGAGGAGGCGATGTTGAAGGAGTTGCCCCAGTCCGAGGCAAGATACTATGCCCGCACACTCGGCCAATACTACCACCATCTTGGCGACGACCCCAGCCAACTTTACTTGGATGTGGATGGATCAGTTGTCGACCAAAGGGCTCTCCAATTCGAGGAGATCCAGGAAATATCGGCAGAGGTGCGCGATTTTGGAGAGAGGTGGTGGACGACGTTGAGGATTCTCGCCAACTGGACGGGACTTGAAAACAGTCAAGCTGAGGAAGACTCACTGGAGTGGGTTTAATCATAATACGGGGGGGTCATCATGTCGTGATATTTTGGTGGTGGAAGAATACAGAATGAGCGTCTTTTTTTTTCTGGGCTGGCAACTTTGATTTAAAGGTACTTGGTCATATCCACTTCGCGTCCCAAATCTACCTACCTACTTAATGTTTCTATGTCGTGGTCAAGATCTACTGGGCCAGATTGTACTACCGCCAGCACCCCTATTTGACCCCTTTCCCAAGCTCCACAGCCATTAAGTTGACCAGGTGACAAACGGGCGGATCAGGCAGGGCATTGATGATGTATCCACCACAATGTGGATTTTCTGGCTTATGAAAGATGAGCAAAAAATAAAAGTATTGAATGTTTGGACGAGCTGGGAATCGAACCCAGGACCTTTCGCATACACTGAAGCATGCTAAGCGAACGCTCTACCAACTGAGCCACACGCCCTTTATGATTGGATGGTTCGTTTGAGCGGTAGATCACAAGGTCATGGTGGTGTGATGTGTTGCATGGAAGAAAACCTAACGCCACCAGTCCGGAAGATGGCCAAGTTCCACCGATAGGTTGCTTTTTGCAAATGATTTTTGTGAGACTTGCATCGCAGCAAGCGGTGGTTGCTATCCGAAACATATCTGCCGATCTTGGCTTCTCGCAGACCATGGCTTTTCCACTCTACTGGCCAGCCTGCATGAAACACGGTTCGCAGATGGCCAGTGGCAGCGGTCCACCGAAAGACGGAGCTGATCCCGTGGAAAGAAAATGGAGTGTTGAATTTGAATATCTTGACTTGAGCCGTTACCGAGCGTGCTGGCTTACTTTCTGGCTTGGCCACTCCAAAGTCGGTATCTCCAGGCAGGAGATGAGGCTTCGTAAGTTACAAAGCGTCTGCGAATGCCCCATGATCAATATCGAACAATTAACGTCCGCGAAGAGGACCACAACTTCTTGCCTTGAGAAGATTTCAATTGTTAAGCAGCGAGCTTTTCCTGTGTTTTCTGCGGTGCGAGGCGGCCGCAAGCCAACTCAAAAGAGCCCACTTCAGCCCACATACAGTTCCCGTCAACCATCAAAACAGGTGTCTATCTACCTGCCAACAAAATTGCCCCTGAAACCTTCCCGACTGCTCAGACCTGAGACCCTATCCGTCTCGTTAGCCACCCACTAGTTTTACATTGCGTGGAAGCCACCACCCATATCAAAGCCTGGTTTCAATCGTCCTACCGCTCAGGCCCAAGTACCATTGGCTGACGGTGAGCTACATCAACGGGACCGCAGAGTGAAAATTACGTGTCAGTCTTTGGGTATCAATATGCCGAACCGATGGGGTGCACAACTGCTTTTTGTGTCTCACATTCTGAGTTCGGGACTGGCGCAGGAAATGTCAAAGAGCAAATCGATTGCGTCAGGGAAATGTCACCTGTCAACTTTGGCCGACGGCTGATATCAACCAATCATCGGATTTGAATTATCCGGGCGATGGTGGTGGTGCAGTTCCGGGGCTGAGAGAATCAAGAGCCCAGCCCGTTTTACTCTGGTCATAAGTCATAATTATCGAACAATGGTCGAGTTACGTAAGGTTCCAACTATAGAGCTTTCTTTCAGGTGGCGCCGTATCCGTTATAGGAATGAATACCAGGTATCTTTGAGATACTAGGTAATCTCAGCCCTCCCTGAAGGTAATAACGAATCAGAAGGCGGAGAACTCAGCCGAACGGCAAGAACGATGAACCAAAGCCTCGGGTTTACGTCTTTACGTCTGCAGGCCTCACCACCATCTTTTCGGCTCACGGCCAGCCGAAAGGAAAAGGCACGATGCCTGAGCCACCTTTCCATCATTCTTTACGTCCGATTGCGTTTTCCAAGTTGCGCAGTGTCATACACAATCAGCCATTACATTTTCTACTCGAATCTTACTGGCACCAGTTGACACCCTCATTCCACCCACTTCACCCAACTAAGGAATTCTCGCTGTTTGTTCAGAGATCAATGCACTAACGACATGCTCAGCCAACATCAGAATAAGCCAAGCCATTGTGATAGAGATGATGTACTTCAGCTGTGGCCAAATAACCTTATTTGTCAAAGACAGACTCACAATAGGTAATGAGCCAAATACGAGTTCAGGTCCTGCCATCTCTTCTCCACCACCGGAGCACTGCCTTCAACCTGCTTTGTTCACAAGACCCGAAATGAACAAGCCACACAGCGAGAGCCGACAGTTCATCCAGCGTTTCTGTATAAGCTAGCAGGCAGGGCACGAGGAACGCCGAAAGCAGATGATTCGGGCGTCATATCATGGGCAGGTATCCAATTTTGTTGTCAAGTATCCAAAAGTGTCATGACTTCAGCCCTAGGCTCATTATGGCAGTGTAAACGAACAACGATGAGATTCTTTTCTTAGTACTCAGGTTGATTGCCGTCATGTGAGATGAGGCCAAACAATATTTGGAAGTGTCTCTCAGTCTATAAAGAGTTTCTGAACTCGACGGAACCCCATCCATCCGTCACTCATACAAACCTCTCGACCTCGAAAGTTAGCAACCAGCCTGGCGCCTCAAGATGCTTCACAACAAGATCTTGCTCGCCCTCTTCATGGGAGGGGCCAGCTGTACCCGTATCTATGTGAACACGACAACTACCACCCATGTTACCGCCACCCACGACCCTACCCCTCGACCAAGCTACCCTGTGTGCCGCAATGGTACCCATTGTGGTGGAGTCTGTGGTGATGGGTAAGTGCTTGAAATTTGATCCTTCGGACTTGAACATGACTAACCCTTCACCTTGTGCAGGATGGTCCAGTTGCCCTATGAGCAGTGCGATCTCGGCCCAGAGCTCAACGGAGCACCCAACTCTGGCTGCTCCAAGGACTGCAAGAAGGTTCCCTGCTGCGGTGATGGGATTGTGGCATTCCCCGAGGAATGCGATCTGGGCCATCGCAATGGTGAGCTCAACTCCGGTTGCTCCAAAGATTGCAAGAAGGTCTCTTGTTGTGGTGATGGACATGTCGACTGGCCCGAGGAGTGCGATCTTGGATCTCTCAATGGTGAGCTCAATTCGGGCTGCACCGACGACTGCAAAAAGGCCCCTGTCTGCGGCAACGGGTACATCGATCCTGGCGAGGAGTGCGATGCCGGGCCAAGAAATGGAGCCTACAACAGCGGCTGTTCAGATAACTGCACCGTCTGTGACTACTGCGGTGATGGCATTCTGGATGCTCCTGAAGAGGAGTGTGACCTTGGTTGGCAATTCAACGGTGCCCCTGGGTCCAAGTGCTCTGCCAACTGCACCAAGGTTGACATACCCTGCCCACCGACATGCGGCAATGGCGTCGTCGACCCAGGAGAGCAATGCGATTACGGCTCGTTCAATGGTAGCCCTGGCTGCAAGTGCACAACCAACTGCACTTGGGTCAAGGGGCCCGTCTGTGGCAACGGCATCACCGAGAATCCCGAGGAGTGTGATGACGGTGATCTCAACGGTACTCCCTCGTCCAAGTGCACCAGCACCTGCACGTTCAAAGAGCCCTGCTACCCTCCGAATCCATCAGTCTGCGGAAACGGCATTGTTGAGCACCCGGAAGAGTGCGACGACGGCTACCTCAACGGCACCCCCAACTCCAACTGCACAAAGACCTGCACCAAGATAACTCGCTGCACGTCCTCTTGCCCAAAGCCAACGTGCGGCGACGGTCGCATTGACTACCCCCTGGGAGAGGAGTGCGACGACGGCGAGGCCAACAACGGAAAGGATTACTCCTCCTGCACGGCTGACTGCAAGCGCAAGAGCAAGCCCAGCACGTGTGCTACCTGCAACCCGAACCCATTCTTCAACAAGTGCACCATCACAACGTCTTGCATCTCTACTCCGTTTGGGCTGGAGAAGAATTACTGTGCTTGCCGGGCTGGGTACAGAGCTTCTGGCCTGGCGGCTACCGATCCGAGACAGTTTAGACTTCCTGGATTCGTGGGACAGGAATACAGGGTGTTTGTTGCGCCGGGGGTGGAGTGTGATCAGCTTTGTGATAGCCCTCACCCGGGACCGGATAGTTGCAGAGAGGTTCCTGTGAGGGCTGATTGTGCGTAGATTTCTGGGGATGGTTAAGATTGTGGTGAGTGCGATGAAGCACCGGGGGGTGAGAGATGGGAGTGAGGAGGTTCCGTTACCTACCTAGGTACTTTGGCCTTTCTTGTGTTGTTTCGGTTTTGCTTTCGTTTGGATAGAAGATGGTATTTCTTTGATGAGTTTGTTTGTTAGTCTCTTAGCTCTGAATTTACTTAACCTTGACTCTGATATATTTGACTCTGATATATGTTAGCTGCTGCTACTGGCGCCTTACAGCTTTGCGCCTTTGCTATTTCTCCGAAGGAGCTACTACCCAGTCGCTAGACTCTTATTCTCCATTGGGCTTGAAGTCTTCGGTCAGGTTCTGTAAATGTTGATGAACGTTTTGCAGTGCCCTGCTGTTTTTCTGAAGCTAGAGACTCAAAGCAGCTTTTCTTTTGTCAGACACTGTCATCAGTTCAATTACATGCCTCAAATTGACTGTCTGAGTTTTAAACTCAACAATTAACAATTTATTTTCATCCAGGACCCTGCAAGATATCTGCTACCCTGAACCCTCCCTCTGGCTGAAGTCAATCGACTTCATCATTCGAAGACGTTCTAGACCAATATCCGACATACTTGACTTATATCCTAACCTCACATTTGCAAATATATCTTGTAAGTCGTCTTTTTACATAACCTGTGGAAGTGACATCACTTAGGTACTTGAGCTTTACTTCACAAAAGACGTGAGTACCCATGGCGGTCAAGGTCGGGGTGTCTCCGAGCAACCGTCAACACATCGTTCTGAACCTCCTGCCAACGCTTCAAGTACCGCTTGGGTACATCAATCCCCGGGCCAGCCCCGAAATTCTAGCTCGAGGTGCCGGTTCTTGCTGCTTGACGAGACGCCACATCCGCTTTTTGGTGAGGCTAAACCCCGTGGCGATGCCCAGGCACCCAACGTAGCTCCACACTACAGCCAAGCTCGTAAAATCGGTGCGACAGGTGAATGGTCTCGCCAATTATTGGCTGTAGGACTGCCCAGATGGACCTCTGTGTTGGCCAAGTCCTGACCCTTTTGCAGGTATTCCAAATCGCTAGCTGGTTACCGTACGTAAATGCAAATTCGGTTAAAAGCTTCTCATGAAAGTGTTTCTGGGTGATTCTGTATATTTGTCAACAATAGCAAAGCGGTTGTCAAGTGCTAGATTTGAACCATCGTTGTTTGTTGGCTTGCTGCTCTGGTCAGGGTTAAGGGTCATTAACAGCAGTGGTGATGTTCAAAGTGGATTGCATTGCTACCGAATTTTACCCACGCTTGACATTTGTGGGGAATTGAGAACCAATTCGAACCCCGCCATGGATCGATAAGCAGACTGCTTATCAAGCAGGCAAAGTGCTGGAAAAAGTTGTGGTAAATATTACCCCACCATCCCGCCAGTCTTCAAGCATCGAGTTAGCTACCAATTCCTTTTTTCAAACTTCACGAATCACTGCTCACCATATCCGTTAGAGCTAAGCTTCCACAAACATGTCATCCTCGAAGCCATACCAACACCCTGCCGACGATGACGACTCGGAGCCCGAGATGATCGCCGAGGACGATGTCCAGGAGGTTGTTGACGATATGGACGGGGATGAAGATGTCCCCATGGACTCAGACGACGAGGAGCAAGGCGAAGAACTAGTGCTGGAGAACGACGGTATCGCCTACTTTGACCAGCACAAGGATTCAGTCTTTGCGATCGCTCAACATCCAGTATACCCACATTTGATTGCGACAGGTGGTTCCGAGGGCGACGCCGACGATGCCCCAGGAAAAGGCTACGTTATCGACATCTCTGCCGCCTCGTCAAAGCCAGTCCTCCCCCCAAGCTACAACTCAGACCCTAGCTCCGTTGGGGCGTGGCAACCGACCGAACTTCAGCCCCTGTTCGCCATCGATGGACACACAGACAGCATCAATGCGCTGACATTCACTCTACCACGCGGTGACTTCTTGGTCAGTGGCGGCATGGACGGGCGGTTGCGCGTGTACGCTGTAGGAGTTCCCAGCACCGGGACAGGTGCTCAGTTCAAGTACGTCGGCGAGTCACAAGAAACAGAAGAAGTCAACTGGGTATCGCCTTGCCCATCCGCCGCCCATCCGAACACCATCGCCTTGGGCGCATCCGACGGCTCCGTCTGGGTCTTCACCATTGACCCAGCTGCCGATCCTTCCAACCCAATCCAGATCGTCCAGTCCTACTTCCTCCACACAGCATCCTGCACAGCAGGCGCCTGGTCTTCTGACGGCCTTCTCCTCGCTACCGTCAGCGAGGACAGCTCCCTCCACGTTTTCGACGTCTTTGGCGAGGCGGCTGCTAAGAACCTCGTCACCGATAACGGTCAAACAGTTGTGTCTCTTGCGGACGCGGATCAACGCTTCTTCGTCGAGGGTGGCCTCTACTCCGTCGCCATTTCCCCCTCTGGTGGGCTCGTGGCCGTCGGTGGCGCCCAGGGTGCCATCAGGGTCGTCGGTCTCCCTCGCCTCTCCGCTCAGCCTGCTTCGCGAACCACACAACGTGCCGTCCCCGTCCAACGAGGCCCCGCCGGCCGCAGAGCTGCTCCTTCCAACTCGTCCAACGCGCAGAGCGATCCTTCCGCCGGTGCTGGCGTCGTTCTGGCCGCGTTGAACGTACAATCAGACGGCATCGAGTCCCTGTCTTTTTCGCCGCAACAGCCTCTCCTCGCTGCTGGCTCAGTAGACGGCAGCATTGCCATCTTTGATGCCGCGAGGTCGTTCCAAGTAAGGAAACACATCCGCGGTGCCCACGAGGGGGAGTCTGTTGTCAAGGTAGACTTTGTCCGGGCTGCCACTGGCGCGACTGCCGGTTGGCTCCTGACGTCGTGCGGTTTGGACGGCGTGGTGAGACGGTGGGACATGCGCGGCGCGACCGCTACCCAGGAGGCTGTTGCTGCTGGGCTGACGGCTGGTCTGATCAAGGAGTGGAAGGGTCACAGAGGTGGTGGTGAGGGTGGTGGTGTTTTGGGTTTTGTGCAGGGCGCTGATGGTGAGAGGGTCGTCACAGCGGGTGATGACTCCGTGGTGCTGGTTTTCGAGGCCTAAACGCAAAAGGCCAATCTGATTGGTGTTAAGTATGAGTTCAAGATATCCATGGGGAGTTAGTTGTCAATAGATAGGACAGAGTTGCATATTGGGAGCGGTCATTTTTCATGGAGGTCAAAAATAAAATGGGAAGCAATTTAAGTAGTCGTCTTGACAGAAAAAAAGCGTTCTATTTCGTGGATCTTAGTGTGGATCGTATAGATGAACAGCCGAGTGCGTGAGACCTGGGGTTGGTTCCAGCTGTCGATTCACAATGTTGAGCTCACCCATCCACCCAAACAACTCCAACGCTCAAGAAAACAAAAAGTGAGAAAGACAGTCCCGACACTATTTATTTTGACAAACCACCCCGTCTTTGTTGAAAAACGCCTTTCCCTTAGTTCCTCCCTAGAGCCAGCCACCTGATGATGTGTTATTGTAAGGTATCTAGAGATGCATGCATGTTGAAAAGCAAAGGAGAAAAATGCTGCCAGATCCCGCCAAACCGCTCAGAAACTCCCGTTTGCGGCTTGTATATGTAAAAAGCCAATCAATGCCGAACGTATTGTTGAACCCCATCTCCTTTTCTTCCCTTCCTCTTTGGGAGATACTTGTTGAACTCTCCCCTTGCCTGCCTTTTGACCCACGCCCCCTCGAAACCATAAACTCCAACGCAGAAGAAGAAATGTCTATGAGCAACACCCGTCTAAAACCCATTTGTGTGTCTATTGAGAAGTCTGAACAGAAGACAGATTACCGCCCGTCGTGTCCTCTACAGGAGGGCAGGTGCAGAAAAGGTTGGTATCTCCGTAAGCTAGAAATATGTCAGCGTACTTGAGACCGATGCCATAACACGGCAAGAAGTCACTTACTATCGTTAATTCTCGCCACACTAGGCCAGAACTTCTTCTCCTTGAGCCAAGGCAGCGGGTAGGCAGCCTTGGTGCGGCTATAAGGTCTATCCCACTTGCTTCCCTCCTCGCCATCGCCGCCAATGATATCCACCATGGGATGAGGCGCCATCTTCAAGACGTTGCCCTCACGCGGGGCCTTGCCCTCCTCAATCTCACGAATCTCCTCGCGAATGCTGACAAGAGCATCGACGAAGCGGTCAAGCTCCTCCTTGGACTCGGACTCGGTAGGTTCAATCATGAGGGTGTTGGCCACGGGCCAGCTCATGGTGGGAGCGTGGAAGCCATAATCCTGCAGGCGCTTCGCGATGTCGATCGCCTCGATGCCGGCGGTGGCCTGGAAAGGCCGGACGTCCAGGATGAACTCGTGGGCGCATCTGCCGTGCTCGTTGGTGTACAAAATCGAGTAGTGGGGCTTGAGCTTGGCGAGGAGATAGTTGGCGTTGAGAAGGCCGACCTGGGTGGCCTTCTTGAGGCCGGCGGCGCCCATGAGAGCAATGTACGACCAGCTGATGGGGAGGATACCGGCGCTTCCAAACGGCGCACTGGTCACCTGCGTTGTGGTATGGTTGGGGTAGTTGTGGAGCGTAGAAATGGGAAGGTGAGGACCCAGATGCTTCTTGACGCAGACAGGGCCGACACCTGGGCCACCACCGCCGTGGGGAATGCAGAAAGTCTTGTGCAGGTTGAGATGGCACACATCTGCGCCAATTTCACCAGGGCTGCAAAGGCCGATCTGAGCGTTCATGTTGGCGCCATCCATGTACACCTGGCCACCATGGGAGTGGATGATGTTGCAGACCTCCTTAATTTGCGGCTCGAAAACACCGAAGGTGCTGGGGTAGGTGATCATAATGGCACCAATCTGCTTGGAGTGCTGCTCGCACTTGGCCCGAAGGTCCTCGAGATCCAAGTTGCCCGTCTTGGTGTCGCACTTGATGGGGACAACACGCATGCCCGCCATAGCTGCTGACGCCGGATTCGTGCCGTGGGCCGAAACAGGAATCAAGCAGATGTCACGGACAGGATCGTCAGGGCCGCGCTGAGAGTCGAGGTAGCTACGGATAATCCGCAAACCTGCGTACTCGCCCTGAGCACCTGAGTTTGGCTGCAAACTCACCCCATCCATGCCTGTGATGCTCTTCAACTGCTCCTCAAGCTCGTAGATGATAGTGTAAATCGGCTGCGCCTTGATGTTCTGCTTCAAACGTCCAGGATGAACATTGGCAAAGCCTGGCAGGGTGATGAGCGACATTTCAGCGCTACCGTTCAGCTTCATGGTGCATGAGCCCAGAGGAATCATGGAGTGCACCAGGGAGAGATCCTTGGACTGAAGGTGGTGGATGTAGCGGAGCATCTCTGTCTCGGAGTGGTGGCTGTTGAAGACGGGATGTGTCAGGTACGGGGAGGTCCTCTTCAGCGTCTCGGGTATGTTGGCAGTTCTGACGGACTGCTCCTCGAGCAAGCTCTTGACAGTGGAGGCATAATCCTCTCCAGAGTTTGCCGACTGCTGCACCAGACAGGAACGGAAGTCACCAAGAATCTGGACAAGTCTGGTCAAATCCTCCTCCGTGACTGTCTCATCCAGGCTGATAGCAACCTTGCTCTCGCCGACTGGTCTGACGTAGACCCCAGTCTCCTTTGCGAAACGGTAAAACTTATCAGCCATGTTTGGCAAGTCGATGGTAACGTTGTCGAAAATCGGCTCCTGGGCTTCATAGCCATAGCGTGTAGCGGCCGCCCAAATAACCCGTGCAGCAAGGTTGCATCTCTCAGCAATCCGCTTCAGACCTTCAGGGCCGTGGTAAACTGCGTAAAATGCGGCCATGTTGGCGAGCAAAGCTTGAGCAGTGCAGACATTGCTGGTAGCCTTCTCTCTCCTGATATGCTGTTCTCGTGTCTGCAAGGCCAGACGAAGAGCACGACCACCGAGACGATCCTTGGATACGCCGACAAGACGACCGGGCATCTTCCTCTTGAGCTTCTCCTGCACGGCAAAGAAAGCAGCATGGGGTCCTCCCGATCCGAAGGGTACACCGAATCTTTGCGAGTTTCCAAACACGATATCAGCACCGAGTTCGCCCGGTGGGGTTAAGAGAGTAAGTGCGAGCAGGTCTGTTCCGACGCTGAGGAGCGCGCCTTGCTTGTGAACGGCATCGGCAATCGATCGGAAGTCGGCAGCGTTACCGAACCTATCAGGGTACTGGAGCATGACACCGACCAAGTTATCGCCCAACTCCTGCAGGCTGGCGAGCGTGGACTCGTTAACGTCCATAATGGCGACCTCGACCCCCAACGCTTCAGCACGTCCGCACAACACCTTGATTGTCGCAGGATGAGTTGACTTGGAGACAACAAACGTCTTTCCTTTCAGCTTCTGCCTCGACGTAGGCAACGAGTTCAGGGAGATAGCCATCGCTTCGGCTGCCGCAGTTCCCTCGTCCAGCAAACTAGCATTGGCAACCGGGAGAGCTGTCAGATCAGTCACCAAAGTCTGAAAGTTGAGCAGGGACTCGAGACGGCCCTGGCTGATCTCGGGTTGGTATGGCGTATAACTGGTGTACCAAGCCGGGCTCTCGAGCACATTGCGCTTGATTACTTCAGGGACCAAAGTGCCGTAGTATCCTTCGCCAATGAAGTATCTCTCCGACTTGTTGGGAGTCCCAGCAATGTCCTGTGCGATCTTCTGAACCTCCCATTCCTGGAGACCCTCCCTCGACATGGTTTCGCTCTCAGACTGCTTTCCCTCAGTCACAAACAACTCCCTGGTTGACCGGATATCCGCGGGTATGACTTGCTCCACGAATTCGTCAAGCGACTTGACAGGGGGCGAAAGAGCCTGGAGCATCTCCTGCACGCCCTGATCGTCCGGGCCGATATGCCGTTTGGTGAAGCTCTCATTGATAGGGAACAGGTCGGGCAGTCTATGGAACTCGGGTGTCCGGAGGGTCGGTTTCGGGCTTTCCCAGGCGGCGCTCGTGGTGCTCTCCCATCGTGCGAGTGCCTTGGGAGTAGAGCAAGCAGTTGCAATGCGAGGTCGCAAAAGTGGCCTTGAAGCTCGGGAAGCGTGGAGCAAAGCACCTGGTACCTTGCGCAGGTGCGCCATCTGCTGTCTGGAAGCCATTGTGACCGGAGAACAAGAGCTTCGAGACCTCGGTGAGATTCAATCGGGCCCAGGTGTCAATGACGGCCGGACAAGTCGATATGGCGGCGCAAGAGCGCGCGTCCGTCCAGAACAAAGACTTCTGGCCAAGGATTGTTAAGGTTGTACCCTGAATGCTCAGTGGCACACAAAGATGCCGTGTGTGGCCGTAGACACCGACGTGTATTGCTGGCGCAAGGGATGAGGAGAATATGAAAAAATACGGGGGAAAAAAGGTAAGAAGAAGTACGACGTGGGAGGCAGTCCAATGGCGCTTAGATAGGGTCGGTTTTAACGGCAGTCCACGAACAATCCCGAGCCAGGTTGACGTCAAGGCAGCAAACCGGTCTATATGCGATTGTCCGCTAGACTGGTGAAAACTCGCCGAAAGAAGCTGGAATTCCCAACCTACGACAGGTACGGGATAAGTAAGAGAGATAACGAGCAAGAAGAAGCGGCAAACTTTAAAGTCAATGGCAGCCCTTATCCAGTCATACTGTCACCCTCCGAGGTCCCCAGTCCCCAGGACAGTCCACTCACCCCCACCGTTATCGGTCCCCAGTATCAACCACGGCCCTGGAGTCTGGAGCAGTTGTTTGTATGCTAGTTTCAAGGGAAGGCGGTGGCAGTCGGGTATTCTCGGTTAGGGGCCTCCTGATAACGCTCCGACTGGTTCACCGGCTTTGCATGTTCGTTGCATATGGTGTTGTCTTAGGTAATTGTACTCCGGGTACCATTCCGAGCCGCAATGCCAAGCCCACCTTCTGCGCCGGGCAGGCGGTGCCAGCGCTCGCGCCGCTGTCATCCGCCCTCAAGCCCGATTGCCGAACTAGGGATGGCGTCATGAAAAAAAAAAGTATACCGACCGCCAAGTTCTTTCAAACTGCCATCGTGGGGTCAGAATTCAAGGAAAAAGCCTGAAAGGTCAAAACACTGGATCTTGATCCACAGACTTTGAACCCGGATCCGAAGTTTGAGCTTTCAAGGTTCCCAGAAGAAAGAAAATAAAATCAATCCTATCGCAACACCCAATCGATACCATCGTCACCGGCCACCTCGTCCTCCCACCACGAAACACAAATAACCACCACAACCCCTTCACAGAATCAAAATGTTCGGTTGTACGTCACTGTCTCCCCCTCTCCTCCAAGATCTCACCGCCTTCCAAAAATTCTAATAAATAATCGAAACAGTGCCCCCACAAGTCTCCGAGGCCGAGCTTCGCGCCGCCGAGGCGGAGGCCACCTTCACCATCCAGCGGGTCATCGCCACAGCCGCTGCTCTCTACCTCTGTATGAAATTCCCAATCTCTATCTTCCCCCGGCTGGTTGGGTGATTCTAACCTTTGCCCCCTTGTACAGCCCCCTTCGTCATCGATGCCGTCTCCAAGGTCTTCTAAACGGTCCAAGACACTCGATATGCCTGCCACAGCCTGTTGGTCACGTATTGCGATACATCAAATACCACCACCGTGACGACCAGGCCATGTATAAACACCCTGTACCAACAATAGAGTAGTGGGTGTTATCTGGGAACTAGAGCAGGGAAGGCAGGCTTACTCGCTTGCCCACTTGCATGTGGTAACGGGATAGCCATCCGATAGACGGTGACACTAGGCACGGCGCCTGCTCTTTCTTTGTGGGGATTGTGAGTGGGATCGTTTCCAGAGGGCCAACAGGAGCCAGCCGCCGGCGTCTCTGGCATAGGCTGAAAACCATCTGGCGGCTTCCATGGCAAGGCGTTTGTTGAAAACTCAGCTCCCAGTCAAAAGATCCGGGACATACCTCGCAATTGCAGGCAAAAATGAGAAGGAAAGAAAAAAGCATAAAACAGTCACGAGGGGTCCATAGATTCATGATTACAAGGCGAATATTATGCCCTAATTTTGAGTACCAACACTCTACAAAAGATCCGTATCCACGCCAACGCCTTCGCCGTGCTGCCCAGGTCTCGTCCTATTTTTTCCCTACAACTTCCTTGCGTGTTGAAGTATGCAATAGAGTCCCTAGACTGGAAAACCAACACAGCCTAGTGAAACCGTGTCGTAAGCCTCGCCGATTCAGGTGTAGCATGTGACTAGCGTGCCTTCTTTGACGGAGCCGGTGCTGGCTTATGTTCCTTTTCCCACTCGTCAAAGTCCTTCTTGGCTTCCTCAACCTGCTTTCTAAGGTGCTGAAGTTGCTTGTCGTAGTCTTCGAGGATCTAAACAGCACTGTTAGCCCTGGGGTTTCAGAGTTGCTTTGCGATGGGGAAACACCAACCTTCTTCGCCTTTGCCTCCACATCCTCGCTCAAGCCCCCATTTTCAAGAGCGCCAGGCTTGTTGATCTCGTCCTTGAGGCTGTCGGCATACTGCCTGAGAATGATAAGACGGCTCCACAACTCCTCCAACCGCGCGCTCAAAGCAGGGTCCTGCAGGTCCTTGTCGATCTTCTGAAGCTTCTGCTTGAGCTGATCCTCATCGCCAGAAAGCGCGTAACCCCTGTTGCGCAGAATCTGGACCTTGGCGGCCAAAACCAAGCAACGCCTGCTCTGCTCCGCATGCTTCCTCCGCGCATTGAGCGCACGAACAGAGTGCTCCAAATCGTGACGAGAAAGAATCGCGTCTAAGCTGGCGTTGATGGCATGGAGCTTGTTGTTGAACTCGGCAAGGGCCCTTCGTTGCAACGTTAGGCGCGCAACGATAGCTGGGAAGCCAGCGCAGAGAACGGGCATGAAGTTGGCCGCAGGCTTGTTACGAAGAGCCTCGTCCCACTCCTTGGGGTCGTCCTGAGGACCGGGGTGGTAGTGTGGTACAGCGTGCTCCTCGACCTTGTTGTAGAGATAGGTGCGGAAAACGCAGTTGGGGTTCGAGGGGTCCCATTTCTCGGTGATGAGCTTGATCTGATCAGGAATTGGCTTCTGAACTGGTTCGGCGAACAAACGGCACTGGTTAGCACGGAACATCACACAATCATGTAGTAAGGAGTGATGGGTTGGGTGATAAGAAGCAAAACATACAGTTTGTCTGGCTCCCAGGTTGCCATATTGAGCTGCCCAGCTGTTGGGTCGAGTTGGTCAAAGTCTGCCCTAGCGCCAAAGGTGCTTGTTGTTGCGCTTGTGGTTGCGCCTGCTGCTGTTGCTGCTGCTGTTGCTACCGTCGAATTAGCATCACGCCCATTCGTTGAGAGACGAGACTCTTCTTACACTGGCAGCTGGTTGCGCAAACATGCTATTACCGAAGATGTTCTGCCCCGCGGGCTTAGTGGCGGTTGAAAACATCGAAAAGTGATAAATCTGGTCGAATGGAACGCGTAAGGTAGGGAGACAAACGGAAGGTCGCAAATCGAGGGACCGAAAACAAACGGCGACGAGGAGTATTGACCGGGAGGGATGCGCGCCGGAGATGCAATTATAGTTGTCTAGCTTGTACTTTTTATTTCCTGTGGCCTTGTCGCAAGCAACTGATGAAGAAGGGATAAGATGTGTAAAGTTGCTGTTGGACTTTGTCGGATATGGAGTGGTTGAATGTTTTGTTCGGCTTGCAGTCTTCAAAAACTGAGCTCCATCAAAAGCTGGCCCAGGCTTTCTTCGTTGCTCACTGGCGCAGACCGCGTTTCCAGTGGGTCCTCACCGTGCGGGCAGGGCGCCTCACCTTGGTAAAGCCAATCATCCACCAGCGGGTGGGACCCACACGTCAGGAAGCCGAACCTCCAGCAACTCCAAGCATCGCCAGAGCTCCAAAACACTCATAGCTTCGCAGCCAAGTTAGGCCCGCCAACACCGTCAAGATGGCAGCCAGAAAACCCACGTACGTGTGCTTTGTGACGGCTTCCAAGCCCAGTTCACCAATTGGTGTGATTGAGGGGAAGCAGCGCCCTGGAGCACGGAATCACTGACATAATCGATAGCTTCAACCAGCAGATCCTCATCGACCCGACGCCGCTGCCAGATTCGATCCCCAAAGTCAAGGAGGTCGGCGCCAGCTCTGCCCCTCTTCTCTCGGCTGCTTTCTTCATCGGCGCGCGGTGCAAGGACTACAATGATGACTACATGCAATGCAAGACTGTGAACCCCGGAAAGGGCGAGTTTGAGTGCCTGAAGGAGGGGCGGCGGGTCACCAGATGCGCCCGGAGCGTGTACGTGCCCCTTGTTGGATTTCTGGCTTAGGGGAATGGATCCATGCTGGATTTCGACAACGACACATTGCAGGAAGAGGCCATGAGAGCTGACAGATACGATTGATCACCAGCATCGAGGATATCAACAAGTCATGCCTGGAGCAGTTCCGCGCCCACTGGACATGTCTCGAGAACAACAACCATCAGCTTTGGCAGTGCCGCCCCGATGAGTGGAAACTGAACAAGTGTGTTTTCGACAACCTGGTGCGTCATGTCCCTGGAACCGAGCCCAGTCACATATATCACCCACCGGACGATGTCGCAAGCTAACCTACATGTTCATGATCAACAGAAGCTCGAGAAGGTCATTCCTGACCAGCCCAAGCAGTCAACACCCGTCCACCTCAGACAGAAGCAGATCTATGCCCACTCACCGGTCCCGGCGTGGGAGAAGCCATTCATTGCTGAGAAGTCCCAGTCCTCCTAAGCCTGGGTGGAATTCTGAGGGGCTTTCTGTCTGCGCTTGAAAGATGTGACGAGCTCTTCTTTCTTTACCTACCTGTCTCGATATGGGGGATAGATGGATGCACACGTCTGGGCTCTGTATATAGTAGAAACCCAACACGACAGGAGGAAGGTGAATCTGAAGTTTGTCCAGAGTTTCGCGGTTGACTGTCCTTCTGCGTATTCTGCGTATATCATCCACTCGCTATTTTTTCTTGACTGAGAACAGTTGCAGGGGCAGTGGGGCGAGGCACGCCGAGACAAGGTTGTGTTTCATTCTCTTCGTCGAGGCAAGACTTCCGGGTACGTGGAGTCTTGTGGTAGCTCTCTGAAGAGTCATGATGAAGAAGCTTGCACCAAGCTGTCTGCCTCCAGAGCAGTACACATTCAAGCGGATTGAGTCTCAGCCTCATTCGTCATACCCAGGGACGTTGGCGGTCTTTCACGTCGGAAATGGGGCGCAGCTAAACCCGCTGCTGTCTGCCATCCAGTATGTTTGTCTCATAAACCACTCCTGTTTATATTTTGCGTCAATTCGGGAAAGTCGATGTTTCACACAAACACGAACAGCCGCGTAGTTAGATCCACAATGACTTCTCCTGGGCCAACACTTTCCGGGCCATTTCATCGACTATTCAGCAAGTGGAAGATCTGCTCGTGCTCGTCGTGGACACGTAATGTTTTAATGTGTACCATTAACGGCTTACGCGAACCTCGATGACAAGAACGATCATATTACACTAAAGGTCCCCCTGTGTTGCCATGGCAGCCACACACGCAACTGTAACTAGGTTCGCAGCACCAGTCAAAGGGAACTTTTACAGAGATTGAGCTCAGTTCTCCATGATGACCAGAACTCGCGGGGCGATATCTCCGAGCCGAGCTTCTCTCGTTCACGACCAACAACGTCAACGACTGGTCACAAAACGTGAAAATGCAACTGTGACTGTGACCAAGGTACGGAAAGGGCTCGAAATAGCATCCTAGCACTATTAGAGGCTGGAGGTTCTCCGCACTGAGTTCGGAGGAGAACGCTCCCGGGCTCTGTGCTTCGTTTGGTACACTCTGACCACCATTTCTTTGGACATATTCGGTCATGATGTGTATGAGTGACCAGATGAACGGAGTATTCCCTGGATATAGGGATCTCAAGTTGAGAAAGGTGGACAGGAAAGCCGCGACACATTTTGGCGACCTGATTGCTGGCATAGCGAAACCGGAGTTGAGCGGAGTGAATCAGCCATGTCTTGATGACAATGTCTTAACCTAGGGAACTGGTGTTTTAATCCTCAACTCAGCCTGCCATGATGTCCTTCAGTGTCTCGGAGGCCTTGCCTGGTCTGTCAGCACTTGCCTTCACTCAACTGGACCACGGCGGTATATGTTGTGGTCTTGTGCTCACTACCCTTGACAGGCTATGGCAGCAATCATGTAGTTTGAGTTGGCCATTGCAAGGAGATTAATATATGCAAAACAAGGACACCTGCAGGCTACTCAACCAATATCCCGAGAGAAACCGACCATACAATAAAAAGTGATCATAGGTAGTCATCCACTCATCTGTCTCGGAGACTGGAAGCTGGGCATGTTTCAATGAGGGGTTTTTGATGTAAAGAATTCGGCAGCAAAAAACCCACATTTTGATGGCGTAGGTAGGCCTTCTTGCAGCAAGACCCCTCTCCAACCAGAGATCACAATGACGGGTTGATGGTCTCAATCTACCGCAGCGATTTAAACTTGCTGGAAATCCCCATCCGGCATGACCCATGCGGTGGGTATGAACCGTGCCTCGGACAAAAATATGTATGCTATTATTGAGTCACTCGGAACAACTTCCACATCAGTTCTCGCGTAACAGTCAGACAAACAGGGCATCATCTGGTTGATCAAATTGGCATCTCGTCAGTCATGGGGCTTTGCTTCCCCAGACCCAACAAGTGGCACGGAACGGAGAGTGGAGTGATAGGGGAGATATCCTTCATTTTGTGGTCGGTTTTATGGACATGAAGTGGTCATGGTCGCGGACAGCACTGTCGAGGCCGATGGAGACGGGCACCACGGGCCAGGTCAAAAGCCATCTCGGCCACCATGAGCAAGTCGCCCCCAAGGCCTTCATGGGCCACATTCTTGCACCCGTTCCTCAGGGGTACGCGTAAAATAGTGGCAAAAGGATGCGCTGCTGTGCGACAAACATCGTCTTCCAAAATATAGGAGGCTGTCACCAACGGACAGCTGGGAGCATCAGGCAGGCAGGCAGTCGGCGGCTCACGTTCCGCGACGGAAACTTGCCGACTCTGAAGTCTGAGACGAAAACGAGAGATCCCGCCAGGAAAGATTCCGATGGCCTCTTCGGATTCAAGGGCAGAATATCGACCTCCATTTAGAGGTCATTAGGGTTTTGCGGCGTCGAATACGCACATAATCTGCAGCTTTGTCTTTGGTAGAATGTGGTCTGAAAATGGGAGCGATCTTCTGGATCAGCAGCTATGTCGATGAGGCGCACACCACGTTGCAATGTTTTATACTTTAACCAGACTTCCCGGACACCAGAATCGAATATACACACTCCCGTCGCAGGAGAGAGCCACACCAGAAGGAGCATGAAGTTGCCGGTTGCTAGAGACCGATTTCCTTCATGGATATCATAACCACCGGTAGGGAAACCCCTGCGCGTCTTCCTCGCACGACAATCTGGCCGCAGTTGGACCAACGGTGATCGACCCCCCTTAAATGTGGGCGTTTGCCGCCCTGTGCCTGCTCCCCGCGGGGCATATCTGGAAGTGGAAGGCACGAAGGGCAAAGATGATGAAATTTTGCTCAAAATCCTCAAAACCCCGGATGTGTAATCTGCTCTCAAACACCGAGCTCATGCCCCAAGAGATCTAGTTTCCGATCTTGCAAATTTGCTAGGTATGCCGACCTAGTAGGGAATTCGATCAGACTCTCCAGGACTCTCCAGGTTTGCAACTACACAGAAGCGGCATAAAAAGTGGCCCGGGGGTATCGTAGCAAAATTCCTGCACTGCAGGATTCGAGGTTGTGCTTCGCAAGTCTGATCCTGTCAGAATCGGATACAATCCAGATAGATGGTGATGATTGAGACCAGGGGATATGTTTTGTTTTTTCCCCACTGGGAACTTAACAGATTCAATACACGAATATCATAGAAAGCACTGTATTATCTCAGAACTTGATAAAACATCGTTTGGTGTTGCAACACATGCTGGCGTCGATCGAGTCATGTTAAGGCTTTGGACGGCACGATCCTATCAACCCTAACAATGCAACATGATCGTACGCTTGTCGATGGAGTTTCTCAGGGGGAGCAGTGGTGAATTTCGTCAAGGTCTCCACCCGCTGTTAGCGTCGTTTCAGACAGGCGGGGGTTACCGCCGTTGTGTCCATTGGCTCTCCCAATCTCTGGGCACCCAGGTTAGCCCCGGTAATTGCAAGCTACCCCGCCAAGTCCTGCAAGGCACTCCTCAGGAACAGCGATTTGATTGGCTCTAGACTTTGGGCCAGAAGGGTCTCGAGGAGTGCGGCTATCAAACCGAGGGCTCGATGAACGGCCCTGATCAGAAACATGGGACGACAGCTCCCTGTGTTTTGGAGCCAATTGTCTAGTTGACGTGACACCACCTGAGAAGACCGAGAAACCCAGCGACCCAGCCGGCAGCCTGGAAAGGCATCACAGGATACCCGCTGCTGCTGCGTTGCGCGGTTGTGGATGTAGTTCGAGTATAATAGAATTGGACTTCGCACTGCCATTTTCCTGTTCCAAACGTCAAGGACCGCTGACGCTATCGTCTGGTAAAGAAACCTACCTTGTGAGCAAAACCCAACTTCACATCTGGACACACACCTGAAAACCAACCCTTGGTGCAGTTGATGCATCAACCCCTCCCCTGGTCCGCCTGTTTGCTTGAGAACTGCGGCGTGGTCGTGATATTTCCACTCCGTCCGCCCCGCATTCAAGAAAATTAAGGTGACGTCTGAAGGGGGCCAAAGAAGCCGGGACCAGCACCCTGGATTCTGATCCCCTCAACCTGACGCTCCAGCTTGGGCCCCACCCGTTGCCCGCTGCTAAGAACACCATCCTTCCTTTCTCGATTCTCACCTTTCAACTCTTCACCTTTTCTTCTCTGGTGTGACCCGTGGACTGCATCCTTCCCACAACCACTTCCTCACCTTCTCTTCTTCCCCCAACACTCCTTTTGAAGTAAAACTTCAGTCCACTCCTTACCAACTGTTCGCCATCTCTGGTCTCTCGACTTTTTCGACTTTTGTGCCCTGCTCGATTTGGCGACTTTCCACTCCTTCTCAAACCAAAACATCAACACCTCTCTTGACGGCGGCGCTGTCGTTTGGTGTTAGGGCGACCTCGGAATCCTGTGGCTACTGCGGTACTCGTGAACCCTGGTTGTGGACGACGACAAGTATCGTCACGCATTCTTTTCTCGTCACTCCTTCCACTAGCAGTTTTATCGACGGACCGGTGCGGCAAGTCAAGAGACGTCATCTCGATCCAGCTCAGCGGACCGACGACTGTCTCACAAAAGCGAACGATCCCATCGACATCCTTGAAGGATCAAGCAACGACAGCAGTGCTGCCCTCAACCTGGCTCTGGGTACATAACTTCCCATCTCAGACCCATCGCCTCACGACCAATCCATCATTCAGACCCGAACTATCATCACTCTAGGTACGTCTGCTGGTTGGCACGTCTCTCTGATGCCCACGTGGGCCGTGTCTCATGCATCACAATCATATTGTTGCTTTGAAAGTTGGGTGACGGGAGTCCCCTCTGGCTATCTGCTCTCACCAATCTGACTCAACCTTGATAATGCATCAGACCGCGAGACTAATGTTCTAGACAGACACGCCGATTTCACAAATATGAAGTCCTCAGCGATGCTCGCCGCCTGCGGCGCTATTCTGGCTGCTGCCAGCCCCATCCTCCAGGAGCGTCGCCTTATTGTTCACAGTAAGGTCGTCATTGAATGGGTTACCGTCACTGTCACCGAAGGCGAGCAGCCCACTCCGGCTGTGTTCAGCGTGGCTCGTCGCCCCGCTCAGCGCACCACTACTACTACCATCGCGACCACCACGTCTGCCGCCCCCCCCCCGCCGCCTCCTCCCCCTCCGGCTCCCAGCACGAGCGCTGCTCCTGAGCCGGTGGTTGTTGTTGAGCCTGCTCCGGAGCCCGAGCCTGCTACACAGGCCCCTCCTCCCGTTGTGGAAGCCCCTGCCCCCGTGGTTGAGTCCCCGGCCCCCGTCGTCGAGGCTCCTGCTCCCGTCGTCGAAGCCCCCGCCCCTGCCGTGTCTACTCAAGCCCCCGCTTCGGCCCCAGCTCCGGCCCCAGCTCCAGTGAAGGTCGAGGCCTCCAGTGACTATCAGAAGGCTGTTCTTGAGAGCCACAATGTGCACCGTTTTAACCACTCCGCTGGTGCTCTCGAGTGGGGACAGCAGTATGCCGACTCTGCCAAGGTTCTTGCCCAACGTTGCAAATTTGAGCACGACACGTAAGTAGAATAGGTTTCCGACGTTGGATCATGGTTCTAACTGTTTTGCAGGAGCATCAACGGTGGTGGCTACGGCCAAAATCTTGCCATGTGGGCCGCATCTGCTAACGTTGACAAAGTCGACCCAGCTGCTGCTGCTGCTCGCGCCATCTCTAACGGCTGGTACAATGACGAGCTTGAGCTTTTCCCTGCCAGCGAATATGGCCGTGCCAACCCTAGCGCCCAGGCTCAAGCCACCTTCTCCAAGTGGGGGCACTTCACCCAGCTTGTCTGGAAGGACTCCAAACAGGTTGGCTGCTTCACCGCTCGCTGCCCTGTCGGCACGCTTGTCTCCAACATGGAGTCTTTGTACACTGTCTGCAATTATTTCCCTGTTGGTACGTTTCAAAATAGCCATTTATCCACAACTACTTGTGTCCCACCGAACTAACCTTTTGTACGTGTAGGAAACATGGGCGGAGCTTACGGCAAGAATGTGCTGCCTCCCCTTGGCCAGCCCATCTCCATCGCCGCTTAAGTGTAGGCACAACTGATCGTTAACGAAGACGACGTAACTATGTAGAATACTCGGGACGGCCCGGGCCGTTTATCTTTTCGCTTCTTCCTGTGTATACAATCGTCTTTTGTTGTACACATTGCACTTATTCCACTGTTACCGCTCGATCCTGGTGAACTTGGTATCTATGTTGGCTGAGAAGGGAGGATGGGTCGCACGGTTACCTGTCAACCCAGCTCGAGCTAGAGAAAAGCCTTGGCAACTGGTCCGCCGTACTATTCGGCTTCATTTCTAGATCCCTTGCGAAATCACATTCCGTCATCACAGCGGTGTCAACCTCTGGCCAAAAACCAGCGATGAGCTACGAGACTTACGACACGACAATGGGCAGCACAAGGAAGGGAATGAGAAGCGTGAAAATTAGTCCTTGATGACTTGGAATATGGGGCGCATGTTTTTCCATTTGCTTCGTCTGCCGGGGAAGAGTATTCCTCGGTTGTAGCTTTGCGGTTGATTTTTCTGATTTTAGGAGTTTACATTGTCTTCCTTCATGTGGGAATAGTTTGTTGTCCTTGTTGGTGCTTACTGCTCTGGGAAGTTTATTCAATTCTTGATACGGGATTTGGCCTTGTTACCTTCATCGCGGCTGGTGCCTCCTCAATGGCTTCACACGGATGATGCTATTTATAGGGTTCATGGATGGCGGTGTTATCATGCTTTTGGGTACTTCATGTATCGTACGTATACAGATACTGAATGTTATATGAGATGTTTTTATCTTGAATCAGGATGTTGGTTTCCTGTCAAGTATGGGCTTGTGGAATCATGACGACTGCTAATGCTGAGGGTCTTCTTTTTGGGTCGATGGTAACGCTTAGATGTGGGACGGTGGCCTGGTAGTCAAGATGGATGTCACACGTCCTCCAGATATACTGAGAATGACAGCCCTATTGTTGACTTGAACATTACAGATTTGTAGCACAAAATGTTCAGGATGATAAACCCGACAGTCTCAATAGGCCGTTGATCTTCCCCCCGTCAGGTGGGGCTCGGCAACGGGGCAAGCCGCATCCCGTCATATCCCTGCTCGTGTTAGCCGGCCGGAAGCTCCCCGGCGCATCGGTCTGAGGGCCACTCCACAGGACAGCTTCCGTGTCCGGCAACCCAACCTTCCCCAAGAAGGCTTCTCTGACGACCTGGCTTATCATCATCTATGTTTCCAGACTTCGAAGCCAGCCTACAGTAACTTGCTTCATCAACTTTCTCGTGAATATTGATTTCTCCGATCTGGACCCATAACCCGACTGCAAGATCTTGAGTCACAGCTATCGACCTACCCCGCAACGAATCAAGCCGACCTTAGTTCACCAAGCAGCTGGTCATCGATCTGGTCCCAACTTACTTATAACCACCCGCCCGCCTTGAGACTTGAGAAGGTCATTTGAACAGTGTCATCGGGAGGAATTTTGTCAGTCTCTTCAAGATGATGAGCGCACAGCTCCAGCAGCAGCAATCGGCGGCAGACGGAGCCGCCCCGCCAGCGTTAGGAAACCAGTCGCTGGGCTCCGATGAACTCCCACCTGTACGGAACCGCGCCTCAGAAAGCAAGAGCCCATATGTTTTCCTTCATGCCGACACACCTGTAGCTTGGCAACCTATGAGCGAGGAAACTCTGGCCCGAGCCAAGGCCGAAAATAAACCCATCTACATGCATATTGGATTTCTGGCTGATCACCGTAAGCTGTTCTCCGCTGTTGCTTTCAATAACAACAAAAGCTGACCGTATACCACTCCAAGTTTGCCACATAACAACCCGGGACACATTTCACAATCCCACAGTTGCCGCCTTCCTCAACGAGCACTTTGTCCCGATCATCGTGGACCGGGAGGAGCGACCAGACCTCGATGCAATATACCAAAACTACAGCGTTGCTGTCAACAGCATCAGTGGCTGGCCGTTACACCTATTTTTCACTCCCGATCTCGAGCCCTTCTTCGCGAATGCCTATTTACCTGCGCCTGGTACTGTTGGGGAGGATGGGGAGGCATGCGATCTGCTCACCATTTTGCAAAGTAATCATCGACTGTGGGTCGAGAAGGAGCAAAAGTGCCGGGAGGAGGCTGCGAAGGAGCTCGAAGGCCTAGAAAAGTTTGTTCAGGAAGGCGCTTTGCCACTTGCTCGCGCTCCCAACGCCACAGCAACGTACGATTCGGATATTGAGGTGGACCTGGACCACGTTGAGCTTGCTGTAAGCCGTATAGCAAAACTTTTCGATCCTGTGCATGGCGGTTTTGGCCAGCCTGGGGAGCCAAAGTTTCCTAACCCGGCGCGGCTGTCCTTCTTGCTCCGGCTCAGAGAATGTCCTGATACAGTACGCGATGTCATTGGAGGAGACGAGGATGTTGAGAGGGCGACAAAGATGGCGCTTCAGACGTTGAGCAAGATGAAGAACAGTGGTTTAAGAGACCACATCGGTGAAGGGTTCATGCGGATGAGTTCCACCAGCGACTGGAACATGCCCCATTTTGAGAAGATGGTGGGCGATAACGCCCTACTGTTGGGGGTTTATCTTGACGCCTGGCTTGGAAACAGAAAAGGAACACAACTGACCAACCAAGACGAGTTCGCCGATGTTGTGTTGGGTCTGGCCGACTACCTGATCAGTCCCGCAATTCAGCAAGAAAATGGGGGCTTTATTTCAAGCGAGGCGGCGTACTCATACTATCGCAAGGGCGAACAGCACATGACAAACGGGACATTTTACCTCTGGACTCATAGGGAGTTTGACGAGGTTCTGGGACCAGAAGCCAGCAATATCGCTGCCGCATATTGGAATGTACAAGAGGATGGCAATGTACCCCAAGAGCGGGATCCCTCCGATGAGTTTCTTAACCAAAACATTCTTTCCGCCGGTAACGGTGTTCATGAGCTCTCTACTCAACATGGTCTTCCGGTTGAGGAGATACATCGGATCATTGCATCTTCAAAGAAGAAGTTGCTTGCTCATAGGGACAAGGAACGCGTACGACCACCCAGAGATACGAAAATCATTGCTGGAGTCAACGGCATGGTCATCTCAGCACTATCCCGGTCACAAGCGGCGGCGGAGGCTGTTGGCCATTCCAAAAGTGCGGAGTATATCAAACGCGCTGAAAAGGCAGCCCAGTTTATCTTTGACAATTTGTGGTTAAATGATATCAACACCGAAGGTCCAAACGGTGGGCAGCACAAAGTACTGCACCGCTATTGGAACAATGGGCCGAGCGAGACGCTTGCCTTTGCTGATGATTATGCCTTTTTGATTGAGGGTCTTTTGGATCTGTACGAAGCAACACTCAGTAAGCGGTGGCTAAATTGGGCCCAGGATCTTCAAGGTGAGTCGATCCCCTAATGTTTCAAAATGACGATAATGGAGAGCTGGTTGCTAACGCACCAGACCAGATGCACAAAACCGGCTATTTTATGACTCGCCATCGGCAGTGAACGGTACCCCAAGCCGACGCGCCGCTGGCTCTGGCGGTTTCTATTCAACTGAGCTGCAGACCATCAGCAGCAACATCCCACGCCTGAAGAGTGCCATGGACATTCTGATCCCCTCGGTCAACGCCGTCTCGGCCTCCAACCTCTACAGACTGGGCTCCATCTTTGCGGAATCGCGCTATAAGCAGATTGCGTTAGAAACGATCAAGGCTTTTGACCCCGAGCTCATGGAGCATCACTGGATACACCAGAGCCTACTGGCAAATGTCATAACAGCGAAACTGGGAGTGGAAGAGGTCCGGATAGAGAATCAAGACCTTGTTCAATCACAGCTGGCTGAGCTACGCTTGAGAGCGAGAGGTCGCGCAAGGGTTCTTGTCGAGGCTAAATAGTCATGCCTGGCGATGCCTGCCAAGTTGAAGTCGTAAGAGGCAGACATGGTTATATATCGACGGTCCAGGACCTGATTAGGGATATATGAATCGGGAACTGGCACGCTTGAGCAGTGGGCGAATGAAACGCATGGGAAGGTAGCTTTTGAGTGTGTCGGGACTCTTGTATCAAAGCGGTCATGTATTTATAGTTGGCATGTGTTTAGTAGTAGCATGAGTGTTGAATTAAGTGGTACGTGTAGATGCTGGATTTGGTGTTTTCTCCTTAACTCACGATGGCTGTTTTGAGTGTTTCGCTTTTTCATGCTGTGGTCAGGTGTCGAAACAGAGATTCTTATGCCGAGAACTGCTGAAGAGGCCCTAATATCATGACATAAAGCATGTGCCTGGCTTTGCAGGTCTACGCAGGTGAGGTTGGAGCATCAGAGGGCCAACATGGAGCATTCTCTCTACATGTGCAGACATGATCCCAACACTGTGCGGCAAATGATAGCTCTAGGCCTCTCGGTTATCGCCATACAATGCTCAAGCACCTGTGAAAGAACCATCACCTATCATTCAGGACCTATTAGAGATATGTTGAGACCCTGACACCAAATAAGACAGCGTTCTCCTCTACTCCTCTGTGTGGGAGGCCCCCATCTCCGTCAGACACACTCGATGAACTACCATGAAGCGCATCTTTTTGGTGAAAATAAAAACCCATTCATGACCGGGGGGACCGCAATGCTTTGAACAGACAGACGGCCAATGCTTCCGGCTCAAAACATCAGTCACGAATATATCTCGACAGAGGTATTCTGTCCATATCGAAAACAGGGGGTATCTAAATCTTCTTGTTCCAAAACAAGGGGTGACATAATCCATATCACCCCCCCCTTCCCTCCCTCTCTTAACCGGAGCTAGATAGACATGTACACGACCATTTCTAACAACGACGCACAATGAATGGGAAAAGAAGTGAAGAAAAAAGAGGCTGACCCCTTGAGTGTTTGTTGTTGTCATGTAGGAATGCGAATGTTATTAGTACTGTATGTAGCTGGCAAATCGGCAAAAGGATCATTTGCCTGTGCCGCTCTTCCTGTTCATCAGGCCTTGGAAGAAGGCCTGCAGGTTTTCGGTATCCATTTGGGCGTTTGCTTCGGCGCCCACCTCGTCTGTTGGGCTGCCTGGCTCGGAGGTGCCGTATGCTTGACGGTCCTGGACACAAATGTTAGTCTCCTGTGGTATGATTAGAGTTCAAAATTTTCACCGGGGTGCTCACCTTGAGCCTCTGAACCATGTCATCCGCGTCTACTTGGATACCGCCCATGTTGAATTGCACCGGGCCAATATGCTCCAACACTTTGGCTTCTGTCGGCCGAGTATACGGGTCCAGCGCCCCCTCATCCTCCTCAATCTTCTTGAAGGGTTTATTTCTGGAGCTGCCAAAGTCTTGACCAAAGGTCTCGTCGTGCTGTTTCTTGAAGGTCTCGAGCTGCTTGAGCTGTTTGCCGAGGAAGGCTTGGGTGTCCTCGCTCTTTACTTCAAGCTCGGTCGAGTGAGTGTCGCGCCCCGCCAGCTGGAGGGCGTCCATTGTGGGATCCTGCACCGACAGCTCGTATAGCCTGACTGTCGAGCCCTGGGGGTCGTCGTCGTCCTCTTCTTCCTGGTCGTGAACAGCTTCACCGCTTTCGCCATTGGGCTCGCCATTTGACGTGTTGCCGTTTGATTGAGGATGTGGGAATGGCTGATCGAGATCGGCGGTCCAGGCATTGCTGACACGTTCCACGTCGAAACCTTCTCGTAGTACACGGATCTTACCCCACGAGTCCCAGTTGGGAGGGACTACAATCTTGTCCCTGTCGATGACATTGTGCTTTAGTGGTTGCTTCTTCAGAAGTGAGTGGATGCCAAGGCTTGAGTGAATCAAGCTTGGGAGTTGCGAGGGTAAAGAGGGGGTGGTGTAAATCAGAGAAGCGCCATCTGCGGAACCACATTAGCATTGTGACGATTGTTTTCTCTGAAAAATAAGGGCAGCATACGCCTAAGCAATACTGTCCGCATGAACTGTAACACAACATCAAACTCCTCCTCCTTCCAACTTTGTGTTTTTTCAAGGTATTCCATTTTTTCGGCCTACCGAGGCTGAGGTTAGCTACTGCGAAAAAGGAGGCGATTCCATGGGATGTTACATTTTGAGCGACAACGCATAGTGGGATACCCAGTGCGTCCTCCCACTCGCCAGGACCTGGGGGTAAAGCAACACCATCATCCGCGACTGGCAAGGCCGTTGTGCCGTCGAGGTTGGTCCCGCCACCCCTACCGCGGTCGCGCCACGACAACATCACTTCCTCCATTGTTGCCATACACTCATGGCTTAACGAGATCAGAACAGTCCTGAGTAACAAAATCCACTCCCGCAACTGGCGCATCCATTTCCACGGCTGAGACCAATCCAGTAATATTACAATCAGGGTATTGGGTATCGTCTGAGGCGTCAGAAGCGGCTTGAGAAGAGACGCGAAGCTCGGCGAGGGGTTTGTAAGAGTGTACAGAGATATGCGAGCCAAGGTGTCTTCCTGGTCGGCATCAAGAACGTCGTAGTAGGTATACCCCAGTGCAAAGCTGTTTGCGACTGGGGGCATTCGAGATGTGTTTCGATCAAGGGTTCGGCGTAGCTCGTTGTTGGAGAGGGATTCGAAGAACTCTCGCTGGGAGTCGACAGTACCTCCTAGTAAAATAATATTCTTTTCTGGCAGTCGCTTTGCGCTGGCTACCCCGTCCAGCATGGAGCTCCAGAGATCCTTCTTCTCCGCCTTCTCGCCATTCTTGCCATCTGATCCTGACCCAACAGAGGCTGTCGTGTAAGACGAGTACCGGTTTGTATTCCCGGCCATGGCTGCGCCTGTTCAGGACGAGCTCACCGTGTTGCTTGAATGGGATGTTGTCGTCGCTGGAGTCGCATTTGCGTGTTCAGGGATTCGTGGTGTTTGGGCTCGAAGTTAAAGGTCGCAAGGCAAGACACTCGATAACCGTCCGCCGGCGCCGCTATGTCGATTGATCGTTCCGTTTGCTGGTCGCCCTGAAAACGCTCCCCTCCAGCAGGTGTTGACTTCAGGAGAGCTCAAATGCGGGCCGTAAATTCCCCGAAACATTCGCGGACGTCGTTGGGAGACGCGACTGGCGGCGTTTGCCCAATGTCAGACAGAGTTGCAAGCCAGTCCAGCCAGTGGACCCTGGCTGCAGGGGGTTCGGGCGGTGGACATCTTTGTCTCGTTGAACCCTAACCCCTGCTCCCCCGCTACACCCTTTTGTTGCATAGTCTTTGCGGCGGGCTTTTGCCCAACTGCGCGCTCCCCTTTCCGAGTGACTCCGATGACTCTTCAAAAGACATATAGTGCACTGTCACAGTTCCGAACTCGGTATCACACCTCCAGAGAGGCTTATCTATTTTCTTCGAGAGAGAAATACAATGTTATTGCAGGTCTTGGGACCAAAACGGCCTTGGCTGCAGTCAGATCTATGTAAATAGGCGAGCTTCCCCAGGCTAATGGAACCTTCCGGCATCCACCTGGTCTTTACCTGCAGCAGCTCCGCCACTGATTACCTAGCGCATTCCCCACTCTCTCGGGTCATCCTCCGTGAAAGGCTGCCATCGTCATTCATCCAACTGTATTACACCGATTGCCTACAAATAGGCAACGTTTTTGCGCTTGAACATCTACAGCCAACTATACGCAACGGTCACCACCAGTTTGATCCGACGTTGATAACAGGCACAATGGCGAGCACAGCCAAGTATACGCCTGCTGCGCAGGAAGATCCCGATGCGCACCTCTACACGCAGCCGCCTCCGTCGTACCAGGCTGAGAGCAGCTCGGCGCAAGACAATGCCGCCCTCTTTGGCGGCGCCCCTCGCAGCAGCGAAGACAACATCCCCGATGACTTCAAGGTGGGCATACTCCTGCGCTTACTCTGTATCAACAGCTTGACCTAACAGCGCTTCTCTAGTTCGGAGGTTCCGTTGCCGAAGCTACCCTCGAGATCCGCAACCAGTTCATCCGCAAAGTCTACACCATTCTTACTGTCCAAATACTCGCAACAACCCTCGTGAGCTCCCTAAGCTTCATGAGCGATGGCTACAGAAATTGGATTCAGAACAACCCCACCGTTCTCTGGCTATCTCTCTTCGGCTCCATGGGTTTCATGATCCTCACCTACTGGAAACGTCACTCATATCCTACCAATCTGCTCTTCCTCTCCGGCTTCACACTTCTTGAAGCCTACACCATCTCCGTCATTGTCTCTTTCTACGACTCTTCTATCGTACTCAACGCAGTCGTGCTCACCGGCGGCATCTTCATCTTCTTGACGGCCTTCGCTTGTCAGTCCAAGTACGACTTCACTTCATGGATGCCATATCTCTTTGGCGCTCTTTGGGGCTTGGTCCTCTTCGGGTTTATGTCCTTCTTCCTTCCTCACACCAGCACCACTGAGCTCATCTACGGTCTGTTGGCCGCGTTGATCTTCAGCGGCTACATCCTCGTGGACACACAGCTCGTTATGAGGAAGCACCATGTCGAGGAGGAGATCGCTGCCGCTTTGAGTTTGTATCTTGACATTATCAACCTGTTCTTGGCCATTTTGCGGATTCTGAACAGCCAGAACAATAACTAAGTTTGGCGGCGGTTAAAGAAGTGGTCGTGGTGAATGGGCGAAGGAAGGTTCAGAATGACGGACGATAAGGTACGATATGGGATCAAGAGACGAGCGTGGTATGACAGGGCGGAGGTCGTTTTGTATTATTGATGTTTGCTTCCCTCTTTGTTTTTTGTTTTTGGCTTGGGATGACTCGACCTGATGGGATTACTATTCTTGGTTTCGGCAGGAGTTAATAAATGGACGGTCCGTTATGACTAAGGGCTTGCTTCGTCTACAGTGTTTGGTTTCGAATGATCTTTTAAAATGTGATTGATGTAGGCAGTTTGCTATAGCGTAGAATGTGTTGAGGAAATCGTTTCTTTGGGCCCGGCAAAGCATCAGCTTCCACCAACCCCACTAAACTCGATCAATTTATTTCAGATTTGCCTCCGCGAGGTTTCTATTCACACCACACCTTCTGGTCGCTGAAACTAAGAGCTGAAAGACGCGCCAAGCCACACGCGAAGGAAGTCGCCGTTGATTCCTTGTCCGTTAGTTGTTGCACTTTAGTATATCTTGCCGACCTTCGTCGCCATCCGCGACAAATCACCCTGGCACGCCGCTCTTTTTTCTGGAGGCTTTGGCAGATGGCGAGAAAGGGGGGACCAAAGTTTTATGCTGTTCGCGTCGGCAAAAAGCCCGGTGTTTACACCAGCTGGGATGAGGCCAGTGACCAAGTCATTGGCTTTGGCGGCGCAATTCGTGAGATTCTCTTCCTTCATGATGCATACCTTGCACTGACTGACCTTCATAGACAAAAGCTTTCCCACCCGCAAGGAAGCACAGGATTGGTTCAACGCGGGCCGCTCTTCTTCAAACACGACAAACCAGCAGGCTAGCAGCAGCAGTACTCGCCAACCTTTCCGACAGGGACCTGATCACCCAACACCACAAACCACCTATCTCATCCGACGTGGCTCTGATCAGTCCTCGCCTCAAACCAGCTATCCTGGTCGAACCAACCGCAATGATCCTGCTCCGGCCCGCGACAACTCCCCATCACCACCAGCACCACCACCAGCATTCCCTCGCTATCCCATCATAAACACCGTCACCAACAACATCGTCCTCCCCAAAAAGAACCCAGTCCCCCCAACCTCAACCGCCACCAGAGAGCCCCCCGCCAAAAGAGCCAGACCCAACCCCGACCCAAACGAACTGATCGTAGTCTACACCGACGGCGCCGCCCCCGGCAACGGCAAAAGGCACGCCGCAGCCGGGATAGGAGTCTACTTCGGCGCCGGCGACCCCAGGAACATCTCCAAACGCCTCCCGGGCCCCTTGCAAACCAACCAGCGCGCCGAGCTCATGGCCATCCTCCTCGCGCTTCAGGCTTTTGACCCCGCCGAGTCGGTGGAGATCAGAACAGACAGTCAATACTCCATCGACTGCGTGACAAAGTGGTATCGGGGATGGGTCAGAAACGGGTGGCTGTCGGCTAAGGGCGCGGCGGTTAAGAACGACGATATCATCAAGCCTATTCGGGCTCTGATTGACGAGAGGGATGCCGTCGGGGCGAGGACAAAGTTTACCAAGGTGGCGGGACATTCGGGGGACCCGGGGAACGATGCGGCTGATCGCTTGGCCGTTCTCGGGGCTCAGCTGCCTGTAGTTGAAAGCCGCTTGCGGAGGTGGAGAGGTTGAGGTGTTTGGCGGATTGGGCATTGGTTTTCTCGTATTTGTAAATCACACACAGCGAAGAGGGGTGGATAGTCAACGTTGTTAAGAGAGTACAAATCGTCGAGATGAAAACTTAATTTAGGTGATATCTGCATTAGAAGTCCAATAGTAGAAAAAAAGGAAAATAAAGCGAGTCAGATAGTAAGTGGCCGACTCAGGGTATAACCAGCAAGCTGATGCTGACAGACGTGACGGAAAGAACAACAGCCTGGCCACCTCCCAAAGAGCCCTCCCTCCTCTGCATTACGGGGTCCATGCTTCCGTTGCCTCACCCCCTGGTTATGGCGTCGGCTGGAACCAAAAAGAGAACTACCAAATTTTGACTTCGTCACCTAACCTGATATCCAGCCGACACCATCTATGCCTTCCCTTGATGACTTCCGCGTGAACCCTGTGCCCTTTCCGCCAGCCTATCACGCACCTCTTTTCCAGTCGCTCTTCGTCACTGCCATTGCGGGCGTGCTCCATCGTCCTCTGTTTCTCGTCACATTCATGGCCTTGAGCTGGGGCTAGTATCGTCTTGGTAAAAAAAAAAAATTGCAGAAGCAGCGGGGGGGGGAATATTTTGTCTCTAAACACAACAGAAGAACCAACGCCTGCACAGAAAGATCAGGTCGCCTAGAAAGTTTCGAAGTTTCGCCATATCGGTATGACAGCCGTGGAACTTCGATAACCTGATACCATCATGGGGTTTACTCTGGGTTGCCATTGGGCTCCGAGTGGTTGGAAGGAGTCCCTTGTTGGGCAGCAGCCGCAGCGGCAGCCTCGCGCTGCATCCGGGCCTCGATCTCGCGGAGCTGGGATTCGCGGGCCAGGAGCTCCTGGCGCTTCTCGTTGATCTCGCGTTGAACCTTGACCTCGATTTCGCGGAGCTTCTCCTCCTCACGGCGCAGCTGTTCCTCCTTGAGGCGAACAGACTGTGACGCAAGGTCCTCAGGGTTCATGGAAGAGTCGCTGCAGCTGATTAGTATGTATCTCACCACAAAAGCATACGCATTAACTTACACCCCAGCACCACCCTCGACGCTCTTGCTGAGCTTCTCGGTACGGTAGTTTTCGTAGAGGAAATCGTGGGTGATTTCCTTCAAGTCAGCAAGGTGGCTGTGGAGAAGCGCGGACCGGATAGCCAAGAAATCGGAGTGACGCGGGTTGTCAACCTCGACGACACCCCAAGGGTACTGGCGGGCGCGAACTTGGCGACCTCCGATCTCGATGATGTCTTCCGATCCGACAATAGCGAATGGCATAAGACCTCTGAGCTCGGCGTTCTCCTCCACTGTGTCCTCATCGTCCTCCTCAATATCGTAAGGAAAGTTGTAAACGGGAATGCGGTAGTGTTCGATATCCTCCATCACAAGCTTCTTCGTCTCTGCGAGTTCGGCGGGAGTAAGCGAGTCGGCCCGGCCAATAACGGGGATGACGTTGACCCTGGGGGCAAGGCGCTTCATGAGCTCGATATCAAGCTCGCGGAGGCTAGCGCGTATGTTAGCAGGGTATTGAGGCCCAAGTTGGGAGCAGAGGATAAATTACCCATGGCCGGTCGGGGTGATGAAGTAAAGCATGGCGTGGATGCGGTTGTCTCTGAAACGGGGATTACGCTTGATACGCGACTCCTCCGCAAGAATGTCATCGTATTGCCTCTCCAAGTACCCAACGATCTCGGCAAAGCTGTTTGTACCCAACCAGTTAGCACGCGGTCTTGTCTTGTCTGCCACGGGCTTTGGAGCACCTACCTGGCCTCATTGTCAATCTGGTCGCCAAAGCCCGGTGTGTCGACGATGGTCAGAGAAATACGCGTTCCCTCCTCATCCAACTCAAGCTCTATCCACTGTTAGATGCTGGCTTATCCGTGCCTCAGGTTCTCGTCCTAAAGGGGGGGGGGGGGGGGGTTGCATACCGACGGTGACGGGCTTGATCTTGACGCCATCCTCGACGTGCGCAGTAGACGGGTCATCCGATTCCTTGTGGCCAAGGACGGGCTTGCCGCAGAGGGTGTTGACAAAGGTAGTACGGCCTAGAAGAATCACCAGCGCAGTCAGCCACACGTGCGCGCAAGAGCATGGCCAAACATGACGGCCTTGTAGTTGATGTTTGTTTACTTACCAGTTCCCGAGGCGCCGCAGACCATCAGGCAGAACTGGATACCCTTCTTGACGTTCTTCTTTCGGCGGATCATCTTCTGCTCAATGCCAAACAACGTGTTGTTAGCTCCAACCATAGCTGCGAAGTTATGCAGGTTCGGTGTAGACGGGTGTTTTGAGGTCTGCCACACGTGCGAAATGCGGGTTGCGGAGAGCTGTGTTGCGGGCGAAGGATGCGAAGGGTTATGGGCTTCACTGAGGAAGCTGGATGGACAGGGAAAGGCAGACGTACGGCTGGAGAAGACATGATATTGGTGTGGAGTCGCGACTTGTATGGAAACACGGGTAAAACTAGCGCCGACCTTCGACACAGCGTTCAACAGGCAATCAAGAATAGAATTAATAGACGATTGGGCGTATCCAGGCACCAAAAAGGCGGACTCTCGAATGAATGCTTGTGTAGAATCAACAAGCGTCGTCGGAGTCGAGGAATGGGACGACGGCGAGGATGATCACGGTTCGGGTTGGGAAAAGGAGAAGGGCCGGGATGGGCGTCGAGGCGGAAAATGCCAATTTCACAAAATTGTTGCGGGTGCTACCGCAGCAGGAGCCCAGGAGTTTCAGCACGGAGCACTTCTGGCTCTGGCAGTGAGTGAGAACCACCGTCCACTAACAGCCAGAGCTGTCAACCCAGCACAGGAGCAGTAATGACCAGCCGCCCCAGCCCGCAAATCTCAGGGGTTGCCGTTCATGACATGGCGCTAGCCCTGTCTGGGAAAGGCGCGCTCCAAATCCCCAGGTGGAAGCGCCCCTTCCTCGGGACTCCAGATTCCCCACCCGGACATTTCATAGGCAGGCAACAGCTGGGGACGGCTGGCAAGGCCTCGTGTCTCGATTTCACCCAGTCCTGTTGTCTCAATGGTCTCAGCATCAGCGATTGCGTTGTTGGCGCAGTTGGAGTTGAAGCTGGTGACTGTCTTTGAGACTGCAAAACTCACTTCTGCGTTCCAGCTCTCCGCCAGTTGTGAATCTTGGACAGGACATGAAACAGGAAGCTTTTGTACAGAGTTGGGTCAACCTCGCCTGTTAAAAGATCGTATAAGTGGCCGCTGCCAGGCGTGGCTCTCTGGAACTCCTTCATCCAACAACCTCAGGAGCAGCCGGAGTGCAGCTGACACACTCAAAGCGCCAAGCCCAGCCTGTTTACGGATAGCAACAACAACACCTCGTCATCCATCTATCTCGACGTTGTCAGTTGCCGTTTGTTTTTCTTATCTCGTTTTCGTAATCAAGCTTTGACCGGCACTGCATCCGCTCATATTTGTCTCATCCTGCTCGGCACCGACCTTCATCAGCAACCACCCCCCGGCATCGGTTCGGGGCAATCGGACTATCATGAATACTCGACCGCCTCTCGAGACAACCAGCCTTCCACTGGTTCTCTCGATAACATTTAATGACGATTGCAGCTGTTTTGCTGTCGGGCTGAATACAGGGTTTCGGAGTAAGTGCTTTACCTGTGTCTTGAGAGTCGTTGAACTACCCATCAACTGTGCTCCACCCAATTCTCGACTCTCCTGTAACACAAGAAGATGATGGCACTCCCTCTGAACTCGACCATTGGACTTGGCTACTTTGTGCAACAGCGCTAACAATGACAAGTCTTTAGCTCGGAAACATGCACGCAGACCACAGCACGCGGTATGTCTTTCCTTATCAGTCTTGCGTGTGCGTTTCTTGACCCTTTGAAGACTGACTACGAGCCTGAGCAGAATTCAACGCGGGTGTTGGGCTGGTTCAGATGATGGGCAAGGCTAACTATCTGGGCATCGTCGGTGGGGGTAGGAAGCCAAAGTTTGCTGCCAACAAGCTGATCCTCTGGGACGAGGGTAGGAGCAAGTCCGCTCTCGATATCAGCGCGTTGACACCTGTGAGGGGCACTCAGTTGTCTAAGGAACGGATAGTCGTGGTGCTACAGAACAGTGTCCGGCTATACAAGTTTGCCAAACCGCCTTCGTTCATCACAGCCTACGAGACGGCCAACAACCCACTGGGGCTTTGCCGCATGTCATCCAGAATCATCGCATTCCCAGGCCGAAGTGCCGGGCAGGTGCAAGTGGTTGAGATTGCTACGTCAAACGTGAGCATCATCCCGGCCCACGCAGCGGCCATTCGAGCCCTTCAGCTGAGTCTGGATGGCGAGCTTATAGCAACTGCTAGCGAGACCGTAAGTGGCTTTTAATTTTCAAGGCATTGGCTGCGGTGTTCGCTTGCTAACTTGGAACATAGGGAACGTTGATTCGAGTATTCTCAACCAGGACCTGCGCCAAGATAGCTGAACTTCGGAGAGGAATCGATCCAGCAGCTATCTTTTCTCTTGCGTTCAACCCATCTGGGACTATGCTCGCTTGCACATCGGACAAGTCCACTCTACATGTCTTCGACATACCGAAAGGAAAGAGATTGGGTGGCCAGGGTGAGGACGGGGCGCCGGAAACAGCGAATGATCAAGGGAAATGGGGGATTTTGTCCAAGATCCCTTTAATGCCTCGATTCGTCAAGGATGCTTATTCCTTTGCCACACACCCCTTCGAGGCGGGTGATGAACCCTCTGGTGCGAACCAGCTTCTCACAGAGAGCTCAACACTTGGGACTATGAGGCTGCCAAAAGGGGTTATTGGTTGGCTTGACGACACTTCGCTGCTGGTAGTTGGAGCTGGCACTGACGCTCGTTGGGAAAAGTTTATCATCAAGGATGAGGGAGGGGGCAAACGTTCTCTAGCAAAGGCGGGCTGGAAGAGATATCTCGCGGACTAGGAGGGGACTACTCGACGTATTGACCTTTTGGCGCGGCGTTAGTGTGGGTGGCATTGCTTGTTTAGGGGGTATGGTTTACATGGAATTATGGGAAGGGGGCAGGCTTTCAGCGGCAGGAATTTGGGCTCAACAGCAGGCGTTTATTTGGCATTTTACTTGATGGCATCATTCTCCAGCAAACATTAGCGGCTGGTTCAATGTGTAGTTTTGTATTAAACATGGCTTGGGTATCTTATCAACTCGTTGCACTTCTTCAATGACCAACACACTTGGGTCTCCTTTCAGCATCCAGGGCTCCATTCAATCTCTACTCGGGCGTGGGGATCTGCTCCGACTCCTGCGCCGTCTGCGGTCGTCATCATCACGATGACGCCTGTCACGGTCCTTTCTTCGATCATCACCATCTCCTCGATCGTCTTTGGGACGGCGCTCATCGGCCCTGTCTCGGCCTCGGTCGGGCCGGTCATCTCGATCACGCCCGTCGTCTCTATCCCGCCTGTCATCTCTATCCCGCCTGTCATCTCTGTCGCGCCTGACATCTCTGTCGCGTCTGACGTCTCTATCACGCCGGTCACTGATGCGACGTGCTTCGTCCCGATGGCCATCCCTCCTACCATCACGGTCCTTCTCTTTGTCGTTCCCACCAGAGGGTGACATATCTCTTCGGCGCTTCCGGTCTGGGTCGTCCTCGATGCGTTCTTGCCTGCGGTCCTGATGTCTGTCCTCTCGCTCATCCTCGTCACGCTTGGATTTGTGCGAGCGGTGGCGATGCTCCCTATCCTTGTCCTTCTCTCTACGCTCCCTGTGTTTCCGGTTATGTTTCTCCTCCTTCTTCTTCTCCCTCCTTAGGGCCTCATCCACCTCCTTTTTCTTCTCCTCAATCAAAAATTCCTTCATCGGGTCGTCATCGTCGTGATCCTGAATAAGCAGCTGCAATTCCCTCTCCTCCTTGAGCATCGCCCTCCTGGGCTTGTCGTCCTCATCCTCGTCCGTACCGTCCTCATCCTCACTCGGCAGGCCCTTCTCCAACCTCTCCCGCCTCATGACATCCTCCCACCCAACCTTGCACTCCTCCAAGTCCTCATCGTCCCTCGCCTTGTACCGCGCATGATCAACCCTGATCAGCCTCCCCGCAATCTCCGCGCCCCCCAGGTTATCCACCGCCAAGTCGGTGCTCCGCTGGTCTTCGTACTTGAGCCACCCAAAGCCCTTTGATTTACCTGTTTCCTTATCGCGGACGAGCTTGAGAAAGGTCGGCTCGCCGTACTGGCTGAAGATGGTGATGACGTCGCCTTCGGTGAGCTCGTAGGGAAGGCCGCCAAAGTAGACGAAGGCTGTGTCGCGATAGTCGGTATGCCAGGAGGCAGAGGGGGGGATCCCGTTTTCAAGCTCCTTTTTATTGAGCGCTTGAATGGCGCGTATTTGGTTCATTTTTTGGGAGGCGTGGTTGGATGTGGTTTGAGGGCAGTGGTCGTGCTGGAAGAGAAGGCTGAGCATTTGATTGGGAAAACATTGGCTGGAAATAAGGCGAGGCTGCAACAACCTTGCTGGCCCGTGCCAAGCACCAAAGAAAACAGAAAGCCCGGGTTAGGGTCCAGCCGAGCTTGGCGCCAACTTTAAGCACCGGGCGCCAGCGAATGAGAATCCCCACAAATCAGGTGTCACGCGAAAGCTTGAGCTGTCTGATCATTTGGGTTTCATCAACCCCTATTTTTTGATGTTGAAATTCCTGCCTTCAGGGGATGGTGGGCAAACCGGTTGGTTGCTTGATAGGAAGCGCGGCCAAAGACTTGGGGAAAATATAGTCAGTGATTGGACAGGCCATTGTTTGCTGCTTTCAAGGATCTGTATTCGGCAACTTTCGAAGCTGTGGGCTATTCCTAGGTGTGAGCTTGACAAGCTTTCCAGTTCCCTGACAGGAGCTTTCGAATGTGCGCCCAACACTGGCCGGCGAGCAATAAACAAAAAGATCCAGCCACAGTGCGGAAAGGGGCCACATGCAACAATTGGACGATGAGATGCAGCAGACCACCCCGCGCTCGAAAGATGGTGGGGTTGAGGTCCCTGAACTGTGTAACCCTCTACGGACCCCCTCTGATCAGTTGTCGTGCAACAGCTGTTCCCCCGACCCGATCTTGGGTGTACAGACGGTGTCACAGATCTTTCAAATAGAAAAGCTCGAGCATTGTCTTGAGCTAGACATTCAGTTGAATAGGAGTTTTCGTGCTGCATCTGTCACCAGCAAAAAAAAACATGTTTGAAGAAAGCAAGAAAAAGGAGAACAGAGCTGATCTACGGTCAGTGCTCACCCTGCTTCTGCCATCCCCGCCTTTCCCAATCCAGCAAGGTGCGCTTGGAGTTTTTGGTGCCGGGGCCCATACCCCTGGAAGAAAGCTCACAGCAGAAAGCTTGCCGTGAGCGCGCACAGTGCATGTCCACCGCCTTTGGGGCTGGCTGGGCTCAGTCCAGCCCAAATTCAACATTTTGGTCAAACCGCCAAACGGGGTGGAGTGTGGAACTGTTCCCTGCCCGTCGTTCGCTACCGCTGCCGTTGTCTTTTGCCAATTGTCCCATTGGATTGGACTGGATTGGTTTCAAGAGGCAGCTCGTCGTTCGTTTTTGCTGTCGTCTCTATCGTCTTGCTGTTGGTGATTGACGGCGTCCTCGTTTTCTTTTATTTCCCAATCTGGTGGTGTCCCTTCCTGCCTCTCAACATTCAACCCCGTCCCGCACCTGCTCTGAGCACCGCGTGGTGACAGCTGGACCGACGACACTCTCGCACCTCTTGTTCGACCGGCTTTACCGTGCCCAACACGCCCGACGGACGGCTTGTATCCAGCCGGCACGGCTCAAGTAAAAGTCGGTGGCCTCGATCGCGACGAATCTTCAACAACATCGCGCTACTCCATCAGCTCGTCTCCCAGACGGTCAATTGGCGGTCCGGCCGTCGCTCAGTACACCATGAGCAACCTCCCGGCCCCTATTTCTCAAGATGGCCCCGACCAGCACGATACCCAAGTCGCCTCTGTTGGCCTGCCGCAGACAGCACCACGGAGTAACGGCAAGCCCAACAGTTTGAACGTGCCCCTATATATGCAAAGAAACGGCAACAAGGTGCTTGTTCGTCGACCCAAGCGAAAGGATGATGGGGCTCTGAAAGGTCTTGCCCGGTGGTTTGTTGCCAATCAGATTGGTCAGTCCCCATACTTCGTATCTAGGTCTTTAGATCTCAAGCTGACTTCCACAGGACTCTCCTGCAATCTCGTCGCCCTCCTCTTCCTGGCCCACAGCATGCCCCGCGCGCGCGAGTACACATCCAAGTTCTTTACGCTCTCGTATTACAACCAGAATACAGGGAAATACTTCCTCGGTGGCGACGATTGGTACCTCATCGCTTTCTTCATCGTGGTGTTGACGGGCTTGAGGGCTGGGATAATGGAATACGTGCTGGCTCCGTTTGCTAGGGCTAAGGGAGTTCATAAGAAGAAAGACATTGTAAGATTCAGCGAACAAGGCTGGTTGCTGGTCTACTATTCTTTCTTCTGGCCCCTGGGAGTGGTATGTGTCAAAATTACTTTTCGTTTCTGTCGTTGAAGTGAGGCGTGCTGACACGATGGCACAGTACATCTACCGGACATCTACCTACTATCTGAGCCTCCACGATCTTTGGAAAGAATGGCCGAATCGTGAAATGGATGGGCTCATGAAGGCCTACACCCTGGCACAGCTGTCTTTCTACCTGCAGCTACTCATTGTTATCAACATCGAGGAGCGCCGCAAGGACCACTGGCAAATGTTTTCCCACCACATCGTTACAAGCACCTTGATTTATGCTGCTTACAGAGAGGGACACACGCGCGTGGGCAATCTCATTCTGGTTCTGATGGATGTGGTGGACATTTTCCTTCCCGTATGTGTTGTCGTGACGCCTCGGCACCCCTTGATCATGTTCTAGTCTGCTAACCAAGCCCCCTTAGTTCGCCAAGTGTCTGAAATACCTGGGTTACAAGACGATTTGCGATGTCATGTTTGCTGTCTTCATGGTCACATGGTTCATCGCGCGACACATATTCTTTCCGATGACCATCTACTCCGTCTGGGCTCATACCCTGATCTACATGAACGGCTGCTTCTATGGGCGCGAACTTGACGGACCGCACCCGCCACCCGCCAACGACACCTGGCTTTATATTGCGAGGCCGCTCTGGGATACCGATGCACCAGTCTGCTTCAACCACAACTTCCGGAACGGATTCTTCGGCATGCTGTTTTTCCTCCAGATTCTGACCGTGATGTGGTTTTATCTAATCATACGAGTTGCCATCAAAGTGATCAAGGGAGGCAGCGCCGAGGACACGCGAAGTGATGACGAAGCAGATGATCTCGAGGATCCGGATGAGTATGTTTACGAGGAGGCGCAGCCGCTTGAGGAGGAAGTTGGCGCAGACGAAATCGACCTGAAGAGCTGGGAGAGGAGGGTGGCCCGCGGCAAAAGGTCAACAACGGCAACAGGAGTCAGCTTGCCTGGTCACAGCGACCGTAAGGAACTCCTCGGACGAATCGGTTGCGAGAAGCAGGTTGACTAAGGTGGCGATGATTGTGTTGGTTATATTTGCCAAAAAATACCTTTTTCCTTTTATAGCGACAAGACCCGGGCAGGAAGGCAATGGTTGCCAGAGCGAAGAATGCACAGTGGTATAGACGAGGGCCGGCCCACAATCACCAACACTACCACTTTGGCTTGAGGGCGAAATGCAAACTAGGAGGGTACACTAATTGTGGGCGTTGGGGAGATCATTTTTTTGTTTTTCGAATTGACGGGTTTTCCGAAATGTCTTCCTCCGTTGCGTATACATCGGTGCCTTTCTTTTTCTACTGTCACCGCCTCGCAACCAGCCCCCGCTTCTTTTTTCTTATTTGGTTGCCCATTTACTTGCGAGGGGCTGATTTGTGAGACAGTGGAAAGTTGTGGGGTGGTGTTGGGAGTCTACTGTTGCATGGTTTCGCCAGCTGCTGCTCTGGTTGCTCAAAAAATGGTGGGGGGGCAGGCACTGGGATGGAACGGATAGGTGGGGAGGGGAATTGGAACATACACAAACAAACGAACGAAACGAACCCGAGGCGGGGAAAAAAGAATACCCTATTATACCAGTTTTGTTTTCATGCGTCGATCAATATTGAATAGAGAGAGACCTGTTGGTGTACGGCTTAACAAAGAATTTGTTATGTCTGCCTCCTGACAGTCTGTCCAGGTTGGGGAAAGATGGCTGTGTTTCATCTTTAGTCCACAAACATCCTTTGGTTTGTCACAAGACAGAGAGACGCGGCGAGCAGTACATTAGTAGTTTTAATATCAACAAATACCCAATATTTCCCTTCGCGTCCTAACGTCTCAACCCGGGCAACTTGGCATCGCCCACCCGTTCCGACTCCCGTTTTCGTTGTCTCCTTGAGCAAAGATCTATACGCTTTGATGGCCGGATGTACCACTCTGGATCTCCACCGAGAGATTCGGGATGACAATAAAGGGCGACCATGGTCGGGGACAGATACGGTATGGTGTGGAAGAGGGAGTCTTGGTTGGGTAAGGTACTTCTAGCGAAAGTGGGAGCTGGACAAGGTGATGGCCCGCAACGCGCTTGAGCTGGGGTAAGTTGATGTGCTCAGATCAGGTGGACGGTTATTTGGCACTTGGGTGATGCTTATCATGGGAGATACCTGCTGTCTTATCTCAATGGTGCCAAACAAAAACTTGTGTCTCGAGCCCGGCGGTGTTTCCTTTGGATTTGCAGCGGGGGTAAGTGTGGGATTCTGAAGGCGGTAGTCGGGTCTCGAAGATAGATGGGGATTCAGTTGAGATAGAGCCAACCAGATCGAAAAGAACAACGCTGAGAGAAACATGTATATAATAAGACAGGTTGGGATTGCCAATTGGGATTTGACCAGAGACTGCCTTGGTTTGTTGGGATGGACAGGTGGTTAGGATTTGGGTCTGGATGTTGCGTTTGGTGATTCCCGGGTAGATTCCACGCTTTTCATGGTTCCGGCCTGATTTTGTCATGAGCGATGGTAAACTTCGAGTATGATAACGGGCTTCAACAAGAGAATTATGGCACATTACATCGATGTTCACGAGAAGCTGGAGCCCCACAATGCGTTTTGGGGTGCGGTGTTCTAGTTTCATGTAACTGGATACACCGGGGAGAATCCGGTCGATCGCGTGCTCACTCACCTAGGTACCCCGTTGGTCCAAGGTGAGATCACCTTTCCATCACCCAGAGTGTGGACCGGAGTTGCCTACGCTGCGTATTGGGTCCACCCTGGTCAAGTATTCACGGAGTCCGGTGGTTGTGGGAGAAGGGGGCAAGGATAACAAGCGGGGGCTGCTCGTAATTTTGGTTCGAGTCCACAGTCGAGGTTGGGATGAAGTGATGATTATTGCTGCGGTTGCCATGGCCAAGGGAGTGGACTGACAGCGGGACTGGCAGGGGGCCGGACCGAACCGAACCGCTGTTGAAGAAGCTTATCTGAGCTTTGGGGGGTGGGGGGGATTGAAGTTACGAAGCTCCTGGCTCTTCGCATGCAGAATCCTTTTCGCACGTTGACTCCCCTTCATCATCCATGGCTGGACCCTGACGTAAGAAACACGGGGCAACGATGGGACGGACGGTGCTCCTTTTTGCATCCATTGTAAGTTTGTTGTGTGACTGGCCGGTATCCTTCTTGGCCCATACGGACACTTCAAAGCTCAATCACGGAATGCTGCTTTGGAGAAGAGACTACGTTGATGGGCAATTTGAAGACAGCGATCTCGAGAGCAGATGACATGATACACAGTAGAGATTAGTTCCGAGTTGTTCACCTCATTCGCTCTCTGCGAATCCAAGATTGCTTATATGAAGGGGGCAGAATTACCGTTGAGAAGTTTTAGATCGTACACAAATGATGTAGGGGTGGAGTGAGTGGATGGTCACTTCGTATCGCCATCAAAGCCATGCCTCTACCTGCGTGGGCGTGGCTTAGGATGCAAGCCTCTCCCGGCTCTCCTCACGCCAACAGGCTTCCAGATCCCCATTCCGACAACACCACCGAAGCAGAATACGGAGTGGGCCTGCGAAGAACGATCAGGTCGCCATGATCTTAAATATCGCTGGTTGTGCTCCCCTTACTCCCACATCTTTTCCCCAGCAGCATCCAGCCCAGTCAGCCCGGTAGCCCAGAAGTCGACCTTGAAAGCCTTCGCATTGCATTGCTCGCATTGCAACTTTCAAGCGTTGCTTCACTCTTTTCATCATTCTCCCTCTTACCTGCTCCCGTCAGCATCGTCCAACATGAAGGGCATGGTTTCAGCCCTGCTGGCCGCGGGCATTTCGGCCACCTTGCCTTCGAGTGCTCTCGGCAGTGTTGTTGTCATCCGCGACGCTGATTTCCCTGATCCCATTGATGGCTTCATCGGTCCCATTCCCTATGGAAATGCCACCATCAATGCTCCGCTGGACAAGGACGGCAAGGACACCTACATAGGCTTCAAGTTCTTCCCTGAGGCCCACATCCCTCACCTGTGCGCTGCTCACTGTGTGAGCGTCACCAACTATCATCGCAAGCACCCCAAGCCTGATGGCACCTACGACACTTGCAGATTCTTCCTTGCCTTCCCCCTGGTTGAAAACCGAATTCCCC